AGGTGAAAGGAATATTATTATATGTATCAACTGTTTATTATGAAATTCCAAATAAGACTACATAAATGAGGATTTAACAATATCTCATGATATCGGCAGAATTCCCCATCATTTTCAGTATAAAAATTAATTTTTGTTTAGTAAAAAATTAAATAATATCTATCATACAGAATTAAACATTGTGCCATTACATTTTCTATCCACTTTTCGTAATAATAAGTGAAATTTCTATTTTTACTTATGAATCTTAATTGAAAGCCTCTTACAAAATTCGAGAGATGCTAAATTAGTCACCTTATCGAGACTAGGGCCCCACGAGCAAACTCTTAAGCAACGAGTTTGGAACGAAAGGTCATGAGACGTTGAATTTTCTGGTTTGTAAAGCATTGGCGTTGCTTAGGCTAAAGTACGTAAATGATCTTCACATTGCTAGCACTGGTTTACAAGAACCATTCCATGTCGTCTTTTGATTAGTGTTTACAAATTGTTTGAACAATTTATGTAAAAATACTTGGGCTCTTTACCTCTTAAGCTTGTCCATGTAAAAATATTTGGTCCCCTTAAGCCTGCCCATGTAAAATTTGGTCCCTTTACCCCTTAAGCTAGCTCATGTAAAAATATGTTGGTGCTCTGTCCCTTAAGCCTGCCCATTTGGTGCCTTTACCCCTGCCCAGGTTAAAATATTTGGCCCCCTTACAATGTACCCCTGTACATGCAAACATATTTGGCCTATTATCAAATTCAGATACGAGTTCCATTCTGGAGTTCGTTAAAGATTGTGTAAAAATTATTACTTTATCATGTTAAATGTTATTAATTTATTTAATATCTTTTATCACTCAAAACATTTGAATTGTTATGTCTTGACAAATGTATCGCATTTGTAATACTGTGCAGAAGGTGATGGGCAGATAGTCGTTGGCGCGAATAATGGTGAATAATGGCTACCATTGCTCGTTTAATAATATACTATTTAACATTTTTAAGAGTGAATAGTCATCCTTATAGTAAAATCATAAAATAACCTACTATTACAGAAGCGAAGGCTTGCGTCGGCACTTTAATGTCTGGGTGGTCAAAATTTAAAGTGATACTCGGTGACAGTTGACGTTTTTGCCGGTTGTTACACTGGTAAAAATGAATAAGATTCGTATAAATTCGGATAATACATTAAGAAAAGGATTTAAATATCTGTAACAAACTTATTTAATTACATCCACTATTTCTTCTCTAAATCGAAGGTTAGTGATATAATTAGAAAAATAAGGCTCAATATAAATCACAATTTATTTTGATGTAAATTGTACTGATCCCTAAACTACAAAAGCTTTTTATTTGAGGAACCCTTAGATTATACATACCTTAGATGGAACATAAAACACTGCGCATAATCCCATTTCGAAATGATTCACACCCACCAATCACAGTCGAGAACATCACATGTCAGAGCGTTGTCCATCTAAATTTAATGTGTTAACGAGAATTAATTTGGTATTTTAGTGACTTAAATTTTGGAAATTAACGTTGAAAATGCCAAGATGTGTTGTAAAAAGCTTTATTTATAATAAACCTGCGAAATGTGACGGATATAAAAGAAACTTACATTTATTTCGGTGAGATATTTAATTTTTAAGGATTCTGTCGACGTCCATATTTGTTGATTTGAAAATAAACAGAATCGGACTTGGTCATTGGTACATGTTATAAGTAACAAATAAAAGTTATTATTATAAACTGTTTACTATTTCTTGTTTCATGGGGAATCTTTTTTTAGGAAGTGAAAAGAGAAACATACAATCAAATTTATTCGTTTCAAACTTCACAACTGGTTTCAATAGTTTTCTCAAAACTATTTATTTAGTAATTCTCTATAACAGTGTTACTCAAAGTGTGCTCCGCGGAGCCCTGGGGCTCCGCAAAGCCTTTGTGAGGGCTCCGCGAAGAAAATAATCACAATAAAAAAAAACAGTACTATCGCCACAAAATGGAGGGACCTGGCTTAAGGACCGTTTTTTGGGAAGTAATTTTTTTTGAGTCACTAACAGGAAGGAGGATATGATTTTGCTTTTGGACTTTTTTTATTTTATTTTTTTATGGGTGAAATGGATTTGGGATAATTCTTGCAAGGAATCTTTGAAATAAATCAAAAATAAATTAAAACAAATGATGCTCTTGTGCATTTTCAGCCTGAGTTGCCGATTAAATTATTCGTAGATGCATTAAATGTGGGAATAAGGGCCATGTTGTCATGTTTTTGAAAAAATATTGAGAAATCTAGCTTCTGCTTCGCGTACATTATCAAAGTCCGAACAAAAATATTCCCAAATTGAAAGAGAGGTCATTGCAATAATTTTTGGCTTAAATAAAATTAAAGAATATTTATATGGACATTTCTTTATCGTAGTTACAGATCACTTACCTCTGGTAACTATTTTTAACCCAGCTAAATGTATACCCCAATTTTCAGCCAACAGACTACGTAGATGGGCAGTAATATTGTCAAATTATAATAATTATAAAATTGAATATGTGAAATTGGAGCATAATATAAAGCCGATTTTTTATCATGTTTACCTATTGAAAGTCAAAATGAGAGTCAAAATAAAGAAAAATTTGAAATACATTTTTTAAATTGTGTTTTATGTGTTTAGGGCTCCGTCAAATATTTCGCTAATATGGAATCTATCCATTTAATTTACATTCTGTTATTTTCTCTAAATTTGACATATAAAGTAACATATTTTGTAATCGCAGAAAGTGTCAGAACGATCTACTTTATGCAACCAGTTGCATAAAGTAGAACATTATGCAACTGATTACGAAAAGTTGAATATGTCACCAGTTACGAAATGAAAATAAATAAAACTGCCTCTTTTTTGGTTTTTAAGTTGAAAAATCGAAAAATCGTGAAATCGAGAAATCGAAAAATCGGGAAATCGAAAATCGAGTAGTCGAAAAATATAAAAATCTAAAAATCGAAAAATAAAAAATCAAAAAATCAAAAAATCCAAAAAATGAAAAATCGAAAAAACCAAATATCGAAAAAAAGGCAATGAATAGTGACATTTCACATTTGAAAATATGACATTACGTTTAACAACAAAAAAGAAAACAAAAAAAGAAAAGCTGTAAATTGTGTTTTATTTTTAAAATAACACCGTTATTGAAAACTGTCCAGAAATGTTGGGGGTAAAATTTTGACGTACTCCTTTAAGGATAATGGGTAAAAATGTTTTTTTTTCAAATTTCTCGCGGTTAATGTCAAAAATTACTCTGTCAAAAAGATACCGATGTACAAATAATAAAACGCATACGACATGAGCACTACAAATGATTAGTGTTGGCCCCGATACGTGAGTCTAAAACACACTAAATTCGATAAAAAATTAGAAATTGCAAATGACGGATCCTGACACATCAAAACAAGAGTGCGTTTGGACGGTGTTAAGCAGAAAGCTACCAACCCTCAATAGTGACATACTGAGATAATCAGCTCTAAAGTTTTTGTTCGTTTAAGAAATCTATAGGATATCGGCTAGAATTTTATAGTTATATAGGGTATATAATTAACTGAGGCTTGGTAGGTTCTTACAGAATGCAGAACGTGTGTTTTATTACCCAAATCCGCGCACTCAACCTAATATCTGGTATATTGTGGGTTGGTAATTTTTTGCATAACGCCGTCCGTTTAGAAACCTCGCACGGCGCGTTTGCACCCTACTCTAATTATTTGAATAGGGTGCAGACGCGCCGTGCGAGGTTTCTAAACGCACTCCAACACTAGCATATGGCATGACAGTTGTGTCGGTTATAAAATGGTGACCCTGATCATGCGCAAAAATTTTGGGCCATAAAAATTAACTATCCTTCGCTTCTGTAATACTAGGTTACTCTGTTATCCGCCTACTTTAAGAGTTATGTTGAAAAAAACTTCGATTTTACAAAAAAAAACTTCAATTGACTTGCGACACGTGATCTTGTTAAAAAAAATTACATTCAACAAATTACGTCACAAGCGTCATCCTCTCATTGGTCAACGGTACAGGCGCCATCCGCTTCTCATTGGTCAACGGCACAGGCGTCATCCGCTTCTCATCGGTCAACGTCACAAGCATAAGTCTCAAGCGCGCTTAACGACTTATCTCCCTCCCCAAAACAGAGCTTCAGGTACCGTCAAACACAACACAGCGTTTTGCGGTGATAAAAAGGCGACGCTCTATCCCCCATTGTGTAACATAAACTTTTCATCTCGAGCAACATGGCTTAAAGTAACAAATTTCCTAGAGAAATGCTGTAAATAGTAGGTAAATAATGAAAAAAATGTTTATTCATAAGTAAATCATGTATTGTGTTAAATCAAATCATTCCATTAGTGTTTTAAAATAAAAGTGTTCAATCAGAACGTAATCTTTTATTCCAAGAATCTACATCTCCCAGACCTACGGACCACACAGGCATTTCAAACTTTTTTATTTCTTTTGTTCATGAATAGTCAAGGGCCGAATGTCGGTCCTATCTTGTATGTGGCGCGAAAATATCGCTTGTATATCGGTAAAACCGCGATACTTCATTTGAAAGCTAATTTTATTGATATTTTAATGCATAACAAAACTTAAATAATCAACCAAAATAGCAAATATGTATGCTACGCATGTTTTGGATTTTTTATGACGGTTCTATATCACCCTATATAGTTTTAAGCAGTTTTGTCATATGAAATGAAACACTTTAGTTAACGCTCCATTCAAATTGCATTTAAAGTTGTTACATAAAGTACCTATTCTTTGTAATTCTAGTCGAACATTGTTTTAAATCGAAAATATGTATTCAAGCCTAATTTGTACCACCAGCACCGAATAAGTTATAAAAAGTTATCTATAGGTATGTAGCAATACTAGCAATATTTTAGATTATTATAAAAACCATTATTAGTTAGGCAATATGAGCAATACATAGGTACATAATTTAATTTTTAAATTCCATTTTCAATATATTTTTGCCAGATATAGATTGTAATCCCTATCTTATCTAATCCAATAATTTTTACCGTGAACTGTTATAACATATTGGTTTATTTCAAATCTTATCGAATTTCAGATTTACACCCAGTGTTGTTTAATATTTTCCATTTTGGCGTGAAAGTTTTTGGAAAATTATGGAGGTATGTAAATATTTTCATTTAACTTGAATTAGTTTATATGTTGTAGGGAATTGCGTATTTTTTTATATAATAAATATATTTAATTTATCTTCTTAGGTAGGTACCTGTTACCTGTTTCTATTTCTAATTGTGATGTCAACTACTCAATCTTGAGATTAGAAGGCATTTAACATAAATATAGAAAATTTAATATATTTTCAAACTTTTGCCATTCAAGAAATTTAATTATGTATTTATATGACAAACGTGTATTGGATATAATTTTAAAAATAATAAAAAGTATTTTTTTGCTGATCAAAATAACCCAAGAAAACCAAATTTCTTCCTGATAAAAAAAATCTTTTTATTTATTTATCATGGTCATATTGATTTTTGGATTCCATTATGCTGGTAAACTCTATTCCCTGCTATATAAAAGCAGTTTTTCAGTGATTTATTCTATACTACGTCATGAACATGACGGTAAATCAAAGTTGATATTTGATTAAATTTGATTCCAAAGAAAACAATCTTACCATGGCAATCCAAACAGATCATAAATTTGCCTCAATAATATTTAAATACTATATTATAATGTATAACAACCGTTGACATGGTCCTTTTTTTAATTTGTTGTAGACTAGTTCGAGTTTGGAAAATATAAAGACAACAATTAACATCCGTGCTCTAATTTCTGTATATGAAAATAAGGCAGCAAATAAAGAATCGACCTACCCAAGGTCCAGATCTGGATCTGTAGGAAATGTTTTATCCAAAAACGTAATAGTAAAAGAGAATCAAATCAAAACTCTGGGCGACGTACACAACATTTTAGAATCAATTGAGCAACGACTAAATCAGTACGAAATTTACAACAAAGAAAAACATGTTTCATTTCAGGAAGAACTTTTTAATATTTTGACAAGTATAATCAATATTGATAATGATGATCCCGAAGAAGCAAAAGCTTTAATAACCAAAACTAAAAACTATGTTTCATTTTTAAATAATAAATTGCCCTCTAACGGTCTTACAAGTCGTTATTCAAATCAAGTTTCTACATTTTCTGAACCAGAGAAAATTGTCAAAGAAAAACCAACATTTAAGGCCAAATATAAAAATTTCAAATCAGTTGATGCAGTAGCCGGTACAGTTAACGTAGAAAACAACGATGAAATTGATAGTATGAAACCAACAATTCCTGTAAAAGTATTAAAAGAAATATTCCAAGTACCAGAAGTTCAAAAAAACGATAATAAAGAAAGTAAACTTGTAAAAACTAAACAAACTACATATAAGTCACATGTTGCAGTTTCTTTGTACAACAAGAATGTTAAAAATAATACCAGCAATGACCAAAGAGTAGTAACCAATGGCGAAAATACAACTCATTCGAAAATAGAAGAAGCAGTTGAAAAACCTTATGAAATAGCTTCATATACCAGTGTTCCTGTATCAGTTGTGCAATTGAGAAACATTTTTGAAACAAAGTCTAGAGAAAATGCTACTGGTCTACCACTTATTCTAAATGAAGAAAAACCCCCCATTACGAGGTTTAATTACAAAACAAACATTGCAGAAACAACTAAACCTGAAGATTTAGAACGAATTCAAGTGTCGAGTTACTTAAGGTCAATAGAAGACGATTCAAATGGTTTATTGGAAATATTAAAGAGGGAGAGACAGCCAAGAGAATTTAATTATGTTCTAAATATTAATAATGACGAAGAAGATACCAATCATATTGAGACACGTAGTTACCTCGAAAATAGTGATTTTGATCAAATGTCTAGTTTGGAATATACGGAGAGTAGTGGTGGCAATGATGACAACAACGATGATGATGGTGAGGGTGGCAGTGTTACAAGTTCAGAAGAAAGTGTAAAATCAGTGGATAGTGTGAAAAGAGCAGTAATAAGGGTAGAAAATGTAAATAGCGAGGCAAGTAACGACTCGGGAATGATAGTTGGTCCTACTGAGGATACTACTGAAGTAATAAGCGTTGAAAAAGTAAATTTGGAAACGACAAATGACTTTAACAGTTAGTACTTAGAATAAATAATTATCTTACAATAATAACATCGTCATAGATTATGAAAATGTGTTTGTACATATATACAGTATTTTTTTTAATTAAAAACCTGTGTTCATATGCACCTGGTAGGTACAAAAACGCTGGTTTTCTGTTAATTAATAACTAAAAAGAACCATTTGTTCGTTACCATTTGTGTAGTTTAAGTTCTTTGGTTAATATTATATTTACTTATTCTTTTTTTTATTTTTATTACATATTATGGTATGCATCAATATTCACATTACTCAATAATTCATTATTCATTGGTTATGGCACAGTCAAGTGTCAAGATTTCTTAATTAGTTTAACTATCAATCAAGTCATATATTGACGCCCTCGTATCCTATCTTTTACCTATGGCACTATGGATATGAAATGTATGGTCATGTGTGCGCTGAGCAATAGTACTAGTATAGTTCAAACCGAACTCACGTGGATTCTCATATTAGCAAAAGAAGTTACCACAAACAAAATCACTGGAAGAATCATGCTCATCTATACAGCTTGCCGACAAGCACTACTCACCCTTGCCAGACCATAAATTTACTCAGGGTTAATACTAAAATGTCTTGCTGATTTGCTAACCAAGAAGGCTGCGAACCGAATATTTTTTAGGACTGGCCCTTCTATTGGACTGACAACATCGGTAGTGACAGACCTAATAACGGAACATTCCTTGTAAAAAAGGAAACAAGAAATCACAGAGTTACTAGGGAGCTTTTAAGTTACCCTGACAACACTGTAGTAAACAAGTACTTGTTATGTTATGTTGATAATGGGGTGTTAATACACTGCGACCTAAAAGATCTATTGTGCCCCCTTCTGTCGCCACTGCACTAAGGAAATGTCTCAATGCCTATAGCGACCCTTCCAATCATATTTTCTTAAGGAAGTGTAGGATTTGAAGTGGCTTCAAGTTAGGTAAGTCTCCCTCTTCTATTTGATATCCTCCTAGATATAGTGCCCTTGGATTCTGGAGTGCTACACATTCAGTTAGGATGTGAATGGAGGTTTCGTCCTCCTCCTCACAGAATCTGCACTCACTATCCTCTACTACTCTCAGTTTACTTAGGTGTCCTTTTAGTCGGCAGTGCCCGGTAAGGATCCCTGTTACAATACGTAGCCTGTTCTTGCTCAGGCAGATGCAGGCTTCCGATCTTTTTTGGTTATATTCACCCAGAAGTATCTTGGCCTGTCTCAGCCCCAAGAGATTGTTCCAATTATCGGTTCTTCTACTACCCAATTCTTTTTTAATCTCTTCTAATATTATGTTACTGCTGATACCGCAGAACGGCTCAGGTCCTACAAAGGGTGTTTGAGCCCCTTTCCTTGCAAGACTATCTGCAATCTCGTTACCCTGTACCCCGTTATGTCCCGGGACCCAAGTGAGAGTAACTCTATTTTTCTCGCCTAGCTCATTCAATTGTTCTAGGCATCTCCATACCATTTTTGAGCTGATTACGTAAGAACTCAGCGCTTTGATGGCTGCTTGTTGACTATCGGACATGATGATAATCTCTTGTCTATGATAGTTTCTTTCGATGTTAAACTGGATACACTTCTCGATGGCGTGAATTTTCGCCTGGAAGATGCTTGGGTACTTACTATGACTATAGATAGAATCTTCGCCTGATCCTAGCCATTCTGACTGGTGATTGCCCCAAGTACGGAAGCATCTTTATATCATGGAACTATCAGAATCCGCACTCTTCAGGGAGTGCGAACATGAAGATGAGACCATCAAACATATTCTCTACGATTGCCCGGCCTCTCATTTATTAGAAGATTTGTGTTCGGCGAGTATCTGTAGAGTGGCTCACGAGCTAGGAGGCGCCTATATCAATTTAGGAGGCCTCACAATGGGTCTAGTGAGGGCTCAGTGTCGTGTAGTAACCCACCCTCCACACGTTACAGATACAGATACCGATACCGCAGTGGTCAAATCTAATAAAATTAATGGTAATTCATTATGACCTATATTTTTGTTAAACTCTGTATTATCTATAAGTAAATCATGTTTCATGATGGTGCGAAAAGTAGTATAGAACACAAAAACAATATAACTTTTATGTTTATTGGTGCCTTATATCATACAACATTTTCATACATACATTATCATTTTACAACCTACTGTTCATAACAAAATAATTGGCATTTTGAGAAACAAGAGATCAAAGGGCTGTGGATGGTAAGTACGTGTCTCTGAAATTCCCTTCGTTCTCCCTATTCTCTTACATATACAATATATATAACGGAATCATACAACTCTAATATTCAAAAAACGAAAATAAAAAATTAATAAAAGTATATTCGCATCTTGTTCTTTTATACTGCGATGTAAACAGTTCGTTTTAGGATTTTAACACAGCGCTTGTTCACTCGTAATCAGGTGCAAGATCGAATCTTGGGGGGAATGGGCCACCAAGTGAGTCTCCCATTCCAAAGGTGGGGCGCTGTTTTTGTGGCTAAAATAAAAAAAAAACAAATTAATACAGCTTATATGTACTGAAATAATTTTTTAAATAAACTTTCCAAGGCTATGTCCATTTTAGCCTCAGCACGGATTTATAGGTAAGTAAAATTCAAACAAATAAATATTATTTCTGACAAAGTTTTAACAATCATATAATTCAACAAAAACCGTATCCCACATGACCAAATTGATGTCATAAGTTAGCTAAAAGTAACATTAATACAGTAGTAATCCTAAAAGAACATAAAACGGTTATTTTTATTGAATTTCTTCTTATACTAGATCACGTGGGAAACGGGTTTAATATTCCGTAGAATTTGAATTAAACTTGTGATGTATTACAGGGTGGTATAGTTACAGTAGTAATATTTGAAATCACTTTAAAACATATAACTAAAAAATTATTTGAGATATTTATTTTTATCTATTTCACTTTTGTACTGTAACTTCTGGTTTAACCTAAGTACTACCTTTTTCAGATATAAGGCAATTTTATTAATTCGTATCGGAACATCCTGTATAATTTTAGATATTTAGAAAGACTCCTGTTCTAATAAGTTTGTTTGAACAGTCATTGTAATAATTATTTTAGTATATTTTCTTAGTTTTCCACGTTATTCATTCTAAATTATTACTGTAGCAATTATTTTAAAACTCTTTACTTTATATACAAAAACAAAAAACATACGTTTTTAGAAAAACAGAAGAATAGAGTTTTGAATATCTAAAAATAAACAAGGTATTCCAATAACAAAGTTGTCCTATAGTGTAATCGGAAGTTGCACTACCAAAGTTAAATATGGTAAAAAATACTTTTTTAAGTTATAAGCCTTTAAAACGGTTTTAAATATACATAGTTACCCTGTATGAGGAAAAAAATGTGTGGAAATTGATGTTTGAATTGCAAAAATGGGGTTAAAATTAAAATGGCTTGTTACTAAGTGCCCTAGAATTAAAATATAAGTGATTATTCAGATAAGTATTTTATACACATAAATTTATAAAAATGGGTCATCTGGAGGCACCTCTCGGGGACGTTATAAACCTGCAGGACTTTGACTCCCAGTGACAACCAGCAGGTTTTGATAAGTTGATAACCTGCAGGACTTTGATGAGCTGGGAAAATGGCTGTATTTACATACTCCCCAGTGACAACTATCATGTTTTTAATGAGTTGATAACCTACAGGACTTTAATAAGATGGGAAGTCTTTAGACACCTCTTAGCGACAAATTGAGAAGCATGTCCTATATGTCCTGGAAGATGCACAACAGGTCTAATGAAGATTAATTATACATGTAGCAACTATGAACTAGCTCTGGTTTTTTTCTTCAAAGTGTAAGGAATCTTAATCTTCATAGTAACTGATTACATGGATTGTGGTTCCCACTCTTCCTAAAAGAGAAGTTTCTATTGCGAAGTCAGATTTTGTTTGCCTTATTAAGTACCCAAGCAGGCAGGTAACGTGATTTACACGTCATAATAACGTCACCAAGTACGTCGAAATCACCAAAAATTCGACGTGAAAATCACGTGAATAACACGTTAATATGTCACAGAGAAATGACGTGATTATGGAACGTCATTTCACGTTCTATTATGACGTGTTTTATGGAATTTCTTATTCTTACAAAATAATACACAGGTAGGTAAAATAAAAATCTTTACTCCATTACTTATACAATGTGCAAGTATTTTGAAACATATTATTATATTCTAAGAAATAATTATTTTGTAAGAGAGTGCAAAAGGGGAATTGCAACAAACTTATCTTTACCCAAACAGCACAGTACGTCTTAAGTACGTACAGTTTTGGTACTGTACGTACAGGACGTAAAATGTACGTTTTAAGTACGTACACAACAGTACGTACCAGTACGTACAGAAAAGTACGTACTAAGTACGTACCTAAGTGTACGTAATCCTGGTTGCATACCTATTTTATTAAAAAACCTATGTTTTTACCAAATTTCTGTTGACCGTAGGCCAAAAAATGCAAAGAAAAAAGACGAAACCCAATTTATTTAACCTAACCTAAACTCTAAACTAAACTCGATCGTTTTTTTAAGTGTTGCAATGCAAGCAACCACGTTTCAACAGATTGTTTTTGTTAGTTTTTCATGTTTAGGTTTTAACTATTAAGTGTTTCATTAAATAAATAGTTGTGTATAATTTATTATAATTGAACAAGACAGTTATTTAGACTTTTTAGTGCGTGTTATAAGTATGTAGTTTTGTCATTTTATTCTGGTGAGTGGTTTCATTTTAATTTTAAAAAAGTATGTGTAATAAATATAATTTATAGATATGTCATCCCATCCCATAGTAAACATTACAAAAATGCTACAAAACAATTAAAAAAGTTTAAGGAAATGAATAAACAGGAGGTATCTAATATTTTAGACAAAAGAAGTGATATTTTACAGACTCTAATAATTTAATTTTGGGACTATTGGACTATTGCTGGTGCCTTAATAACTAATAAGCTGGCAACAAATTATAATTGACTGCAGTTGAAGTGGGTAAGATGTTTTAATTTTTTATTTTTGCATGCCAGTTTTCATAAAGTCGTTGCATTAAAACCCATCTATCTAGTCACAATTATTTTTGTTTCTAATGAAATTGTGTACTTCCAACCATTGGACTTCAAAACTGATGGAGATCAAGCTTAACAAAAAGAAATATAGGAGTTCCGATATTATAGAACAGTGGCAGGAACGAATTGGATTTCAAAGGCATAAGGCCAAAACAGGTGGATACAAATGAGAGAGGTTTAGATCCAGGAGTATATTGACAATGATAATTTTGAGCTGTAGAAACTATCGCTTACTTTACTCTACATCTTTTTGTTGTATTGTTTTTATTATATTGTTTATTATAAAAAGTACCAAAGTTAAGATTCTAATTTGAAATTATTTCTTTGCAGAAGGTGCTATAAAAAGTAACAAATGGAAAGTGAAGAAGTTTGTAGAACAGGAAATTGTGAGATGGCTAAGAAGAGCTGATGATAGCCTAAAAACTTTCAAAAAGATAGCAAAACAATTTAAATTATTCTTTTAATGTAAAAAATTAAATAAATACAAATTAACTTGTTTACTTTTCTTTTTATTGCACTAATACGTACATTATACATCATAAGTAAGTACCAATAAGGATGTAAAGTACGTCTAAAATATATACTCTATTGGATTAAGTACAAACATAGTACGTACATGAGGTACGTACAGAGTAGGTACATTATGTACATACAGAGTACGTACATTAGGTACGTACAGAGTACGTACATTAGGTACGTACAGAGTACGTACTTTAAGTACGTACTAGGTACGTACCGTCGTTTGGAAAATGTACGTATTATGTACGTACTATGTACGTACTTCGTACAGTAAAGTACGTACATGGTACGTACTTTACGTCCCATCAGTACGTACATAGTACGTCTTATGTACGTAAGTGTGTTTGCTGGGTATATGGCAAGATGAAAAATTTTCCCTGTATGCTAGATACGGAAAATTGCATCTCCTCTAAAGAAAGGCATGAAATAAGAAAAATGTTTAAATGGCTAGAGTGAAAAGGATATTCATAAAAAGATGAAATGTCTTGAAAATATTGTCCATAAATCGTTATTTCTTCAGAACAAGTCTCTAACAGAAGGCACTTTATCTTAATTATTTTATTTTGGGCAAAGCAGAAACAATCAGAATTTGAATATGAGTAACTACTAAGTACATAACCATCCAAATAAATTTTTTTACATTCCTTGTAAGGATGAGTCTCAGGGACTGTACCATCACACAAGACATACTTATTATTTTTTCCTGAACTTGAACTAATATTTAAAAGTCCACTTTCCTGTTCATATATTCTACGACAAATCTGCTGTAGTGGTTTTGTAGAAGATTTAAGCATTGTTTTTAGTTGTCCCAAATAGTTCTCAAAAGGAAACGCTGAAAATTCATCAAGTCCTCCATATCTAAGACTATCTTTAGGGAGATGACTAAGTATATGTACATTGTAGATAACAAAATGTTTTCCATATAACTGCTCACCATGTTTTATGAATTTAATTAGAAGTTTCGCTGCCACATCACTGTTAGTCGAGGAGGAATTATCATTAGTAATGAGTAATATTATTGCCGTATGAAATAGTAAAAAATTGTTCATCATCATTTTTGAAAGCACGTCACATTTTGGGGAAATTTTATACCTAATTCGACGTCGAATTTTGGTGATCAAGTGACTTCGACCAGAAATCACCTTAATTCACCCGAAATCGACGGGTTTGCACGTCACCTGCCTGGCTGGGTACCTGATATTAATCACAAGAAAAGAGGAAACTGATGACAATAGAAAAAAAAGTGAGAAAAACAATTTGGACAAAGAAACTAAAAACTAATATAAAAACTATGAAAATAATAATGTACTTAATACTGATTAAAATGAAGTCAATAAGATGGTATGAAAGCATAAAAGAAATTACGACTCAAAATTATTGCGGCTTAAGATAAACATAATATAAAACAATATGAAATACACGGTAGTGGAAAAACTATTGAGCTCCAGTCTATTGAAGCAGATTCAAATTATAATTTCAAAGGTATTAGCTTAGTTCAGAAATATATACCTTATCTTGCGTGTAACTGACATTGTATTATTATTAAACGTCATTTATTTCTGATATCGTTTAAGTATCGGTATTTTTGTTTATTGCTTCAGATAGTGTGATTAGTGTAATTTACCAGTATTGTGTGTAACATTCCAGTTGCCTTAATGTAGATGTGTTTAAAACATTGATATTCGAATAAACGGATAATTGGATAATCCTATTAGTTCCAAAATTGAGTTCTCAAATTGAATGATTTTAATTAAAATTGCATTAACAATGTATGATAAACTAAAAATAAATGATAAATAATGATAAGTTCTTTTAGTTTTATAAGATAGTTTTATCATGAATGAATATCTTAGAACGACTATTAAACCAATTTCTAAGAATTCAATTCTGGATCAACTTGAAAATAAAACATGCATAACTTTTGTTATCCTAAATTTTACAACTATACGTTCTGTGGTAGTAGTTGTACTTTACGGAAACTTAACAAAAATGTCATAACTAAACACAATACGGCACAGTTCTTAAAAAAATGAAAGGTTGTTCAAAAGATTGTAGATACTTCTTAAAAATAAGAAACTTAATAACGTTTCGTTGCATCACTTATAAATGTTTATGAGGAAATGTTAAGTACCTTAAACTTGTCCAACCTTTCAAGTATGTATCGTCACCAAAAAACCAACAGGTGAATAAATTTGTTTTTTGAACTTACTATTGAACTATGACGTTATTCCAAAGAAATTGGTAAACGTGATGCCGTTTGTTGTTTCTGCGGCTTTAAAAATAAATAATTACTTAAAAAGTGTAAATACAGTTCTCCCTGTGACCATGTGAAGATGAAATATAAAATAAAACAAAAACCTCGAATTCTTGGATACAGTAACGTATTTAAAAAAATTGGTATTTACGGTTCTTACAACGTAAGGTCATCATTAGACCTAAAAAGAACAATTTTTGAGTAAGGTAGGTAAATATTTAAATTTTAAAAAACCAACTACCCCAATTTTTTGGGCTTTAGTCTGCCTCCTCATATCTTACAATACTTGGTTTCTTTTGAATCTGTAGAAACATTTGTCACTCAACTTATTTTGGTCCACTGAGCAGACCTTTACATCAGTAACACTATTACTCCTGGAACTAGGTCATCCATGCTTTTTTACTTTTGCTCAGTCCCTTCTTCTTACACTACAAGTAACTGTAGTTCTCGTGGTTCAACTATACATTTGATGCATTTTTAATTTTATAAGTTGGTTCTTTAAACTTTAAAATGTCTACCTATTTCTATATTTTTTATAAAATACCGTGTTGTAGCTTTATTTTTGTCAATCACAAATTGTTATTTTTCGGCCTGAAAATGACCCGGTATGGTCGAAACTAGTAATTACCAATATTTTTAATAGATTACTGTGACCAACACTTCAAGTTTTTTTGTTGCATTCATTTTTATGGAATTTAATTTCTACCCCTGACCTGACCGAATTAAGAATAATTTTCATTTCCTACTTTATAATGGGTTTAATTTTTTTGCTATAGTTATTGGAGTCTATTACTTACCGCTGGGCTTACTCCTCTAGCTGCGGATCCTGAACGTCCCTTGGCACGGAATTTGGCAATGGCTTGTTCGGCTAGGTCGGCTCTTTCTTCGGCCTCTTCGAGCTCTTGTTGAGCTTTACGGAATTTAGCCAAGTTCAAGGCGGCGATTTCTTCTGCTTCTTCTATCTGCCTCTTGTATGTCTTGATCTTCTGTTGAAGTTTGTCGACAAGGTCTTGCATCCTTTCGTGGTTCTTGCGGTCTTCTTCTGCTTGGAAGCTGAGTTCCTTAATGCGACGTTCTGACTTTCTCAAGTTCTTTTGGGCATCCGCGTGCCGCCTTTGTTCTCCATCTAATTCATTTTCTAATTCTCTAACACGTTGTTCCAGTTTGGCGATGGCCTTCTTGCCTCCTTTGAGGGCGTTGGCTTCAGCTTCATCCAAACGTACTTGAAGGTCCTTGATTTGGGCTTCCAATGCTTTGCGGAGTTTTTCTTGGTTCTGTGCATGGTCTTGTTCAGCACGGAGTTCGTCAGCAAGACGGGCAGCATCAACCATAGCTTTCTTGGCTTTCTCTTCGGAATTCTTGGCTTCGTTGAGGAGTTCGTCTAAGTCAGAATGGAGGGTTTGTAATTCGGTTTCCAATTTCCTCTTGGCACCGGACAATGAAGCGTTCTGGGCACCAAGGTCGTTGAGTTGTTCGTGGGCGTCTCCCAATTCCTGTTCGGCTTGGCGACGGGCACGGTCAGCTTGTTCAAGAAGAGTACGAGATTCTTCAAGTTCATTTTGAAGTGCGTTAGCACGACGTTCGGAGATTCCAAGTTGTTCACGAGCTTCGTCACGGGCTCTTTGTTCTTCTTCAAGGGCGGTTTGGGTGTCCTTAAGTTGTTGTTGGTAGCGTTTGATGGTCTTTTGGGCTTCAGCATTGGCCTAAAAAAATTAAAATCGATTTTAAATACACATTTCCTTTGAATTATTTTAATTTTATTACCTTGTTAGCGTGGTCCAAAGCGATTTCCAATTCGTTGATGTCAGCTTCCAACTTCTTCTTCATGCGAAGGGCCTCAGCCTTGCCTTTAGCTTCGGCTTCAAGGGAGGCTTGCATGGAGTCAAGAGCACGTTGGTGGTTCTTGCGGGTGTTTTCGAATTCTTCTTCTTTCTCTTGGATACGTCTGTCGATTTCTTGACGGACTTGAGAAAGTTCCAACTGGCTGCGGAGTACTTTGTTCTCTTCTTGTTCAAGAGCGGCTTCAGCTTCTTCAAGGGCGGCTTGAAGTTCATCCTTCTCGGCTTCCAAGCGTTTCCTGGCTTTTTCAATTTCGTGAATGTTGCGGCCACCTTCACCAATTTGGTCAAGGAGATCCTTAACTTCATCAGCGAGGTTCTTGTTTTCACGACGGACGGCTTCGAGTTGTTCTTGACCTTCTTCGTAGGCACCCTTAAGCCTGAATAATTCAGTGGAGTAGTTTCTGCATTCTTTCTGACTGGCATCGAGTTCAGCAGCCAAGTCATCAACCTTGAGTTTCCATTCTCCAATGATCTTGTCGAATGCCTTTTGTTTCTTTTCGGCGGCGTTGGCAATAGCGTTGGCACGGTCGACTTCGAGTTGCAAGTCTTCGACTTCGGTAGCTAAACGTTGTTTGGTCTTTTCAAGGGCTACAACCTTCTGGTTAAGGGATTCAATTGTTTCTTCAGCTTCAGCGAGACGAGCTTGCAATTTCCTCTTGGCTTCTTCGAGTTCTTCAGAACGAGCGACACCTTCGGATTCATATTTCTGTCTCCAAAGTTGGGCTTCTGCGTTAGCTTTGCTGAGTTGACGTTGGATGTCAGCCTTAGCTTCAGCTTCTTCTTCAACTTGTTCACGGATGTTGTCCAAGTCGTGCTCAAGGTTGCGGAATTTGCCAAGAAGTGTAGCACGTTCCCTGCTTTCTTCATCGGCCAATCTCTTGGTGTCTTCCAATTGGGTGGTGAGAGAAACCTTAATCTTGCTAAGCTGAGATACTTGAGATTCGGCTTCTTCTAATTGTCTGAGGAGGTCAGAGTTTTCAATAGACAGCTTCTTCTTAGCGGCATCGAAGTCATTAAGAGTGCGGTTGGTTTCATCGAGTTTACCTTGTACGTCGTTAAGTTGTTGTCCTAATTGTTTAGATACCTTTTCAATTGCAGCCTAAACCATTAAATAGTAATTAGGAAACCAGAATAAGCAATTGATTGTTAACAATAAAAGCAACACAAAAAAGTTAAAAAGGTAAGGTATTAGCTCTATAAATCAATTTGTGATAAAGCTGTAATAACACATTGGTGCTAAAAAAAATGTGAAATTTTATTCTAATCAGCGATTAGAATTGATTTAGTTACATCACGGCGAATATGAAAAAGCTCTAGTGAATAAATTGTTTTAGTTTGTAAAATCTATGTAATCAAAATTATTTTTTAGATGCCAATAGGAATTAAGCATGAGCAGATGAATTTTTCAGCGTCCTTTGTACCTTTTCGTTTGCTAAGTGGTCGACTGAGGCACGGAGGTCATTGAGTTCACCGAAGTATTGAGCCTTTTCTTTTTCAGCCCTTTAATTTGAAACAATAAATAGACTTAACACAATGTAAAGGGTCACAAAAAAGGTAAAATGCGGGTAGTAGGGGTCAAATCCACAAGTACAAGTACAAGAGTCAGTGTTTATTACTAATAAAGAATTTTTTTGTCGAAAAAAAAAGACCAGAGTTATTTTTTAGAAAAAAAAATCGAATACAGTCAATTTGTGATACTATTTGATGTGTAAAAAACACTTTATTGCAATAAACATGTCATCACCACGACTGTTGTACCTTTTCCCGGCCAACTTGTTCAACGGCACCACGGGTTTGTTGAAGTTCAGAATAAATATTTGCGCGGTCTCTTTCGGCCCTAGGGTGATAATATTGTTTAAAAACGTCATTATAATTTTGTAAAATCGTAAGTGATGTATAAGTTTGTGTGAGAGTGGATTGAAGAAACCTTAAATTTTTTTTAAGGTACCTACTTTTTTGAGAGTAAAGTCTAAGTTTTTAGGAATCCGTGTATTTACTGAAAATGTACAGGTATGTAAGTTTTGAATTATATAGAATTTATAAAATGTAAGTGGGCACAATTAAAATATATTTCTGTGAACTCACCAAAGATCAGTGAGGGTTACACTTTAAATTGTTATATATCTTCAACCAGTCGAGCCAAGAATAAAAAACATACGAAATTCAATTGACCAAATAATGTAAAAATATATAACAGATTAAAAAATTGTTGCCATGATAACTCATGATACAGGCATTAAAAAGAAATCGTATTTTATTTTTCAATAGCGTGGTTGAACCATAAAATTTTTCCCAAGATTGTCTAATGTTAATTTAGCAGCATATTGTCTGTGGGGTTATTTAAAAGAAATGTTTATTATAACATATTGAACATATTATACTGTAGCCAATTTTTAAGCAGTTCAACTTCGTTTTTTATTATGTCAACTGGTCAAAAATATAATAAAGTTAAAATATACCCCTACTGAATGATAACCTTGTATTTAATAGAACATTAATAGTCTAATTCACAAATGGTTTTTAAATATTTACAACCTGTTATTATCTATAGAGATAGAACTGTCAACAAAAAGTAGAGTTAGACGATATTAGACATTCCAAACAAAATGGTTGCCCGTAGGTAATGACAGACACATGATAGGTTATGATATGGCAACACTGTGAGCCTGATGATTTGAAAAGGTCAATAATGTATGTAGTTTTATAGATTGATCATCCATGATTTTAAAAATAAACAAGCTTATTATGCGTTGAAGTAAAAACCTAGGTATTTTTTTTTATATATTTAAAGGCTAGAAATTGGTTTTAAAACCCATTTTATGGTAAACCAATTCAAATTAATGAGCATTCTGAGTACTTTGACCCGCTTTGAGCAATATATATAACGATATATGTATCATTGACCCTATCAATGACAACAGACCCAAAAGGTTGCCATATCTAAACTGTCAGTTCCCACTAGCAGCATTTTGACAGGCCTTTGGAATGCCTAATTGTGATTTTTCAATTACACTGTCAGTAGTTACGCTGATTAGTAAAATTAAAATAAATAAGGTTATGTTTAATTAAATCATTAACAATTTTTTCCAATCGATAGAATAACATGGAAATAATGTTTATATAGCTTACCGATATTTTTAAATTTCTCGAAATTTGATTTAGTACCTACAATTTCACTTCCTTAACCTTTTTTTTTATTAGATTGTCTTTGAATTTCTTGTGTTTACGTTTTAGAATCAAAATAAATATAATTTTTTTAAAGCTTTAGGCTCAGAGTCGGTAACCTTCTTCAGTATATTTTGTTGTTTTTTATTTTTTGTAGTTAAGATCATTGTTTTGTTTACCTCTAAATTTTTATGAACAATTTGTCATTACAGTAACCGGATTTTTTAAAATTATTTTAAAATTTTTACAATATTAATTGAAAACAATGGAATAAAATAATATTTTAAAAGAGTAAATTGCTACAGTCGTTAAATAAACGTCAAAAATAAAAAAAAATAAAAAACATTGTAATAGGTCTGTTCCAACAATGATCTGAAACCAGTCACTGACATCAGGATTCTGTGCAGTAGATTATTTAAACCGCCAAATTCATACTGCACACAATCCTGGTGGTAATGACTGGTTTCTGATCGTTGTTGGAACATACCTAATGACAATTTTTCATGGTAATATAAATAAAAGAACAACAGAACAAGGCTGAAAGCTTTAAAAAATGTCCCTAATTTCATTTTAAAACCTGAAACCCAAGAAATTAAAAAACAATCTGATATTTTTAACAGTTTGTGAAATATCGACTAACTCTATTAGATATTCATTATAGTTTACGGATCTGCAGGTAACTTACAGATACGTATATAATAATCTAGATTAGTGTGACGTAATTTGTTTTCTAATGACAATTGGGTTTTAATAAAAATAAATCATTATATCTTTGAAATTAAGATATTTTATAGGATTTCAGTTTTTTTTTAATATTGTTTGCAGGCCTAAAAAAGTAGTTTAAACCTGTGTAAACACAAATTATATTTTTGTCGCTGTCATTTGTCATTAATATAGTGTTTTAGGCTGTGTATTAAGTAACGGCAAAAATTTAATACAACTAGATACTTTTTAGGTTAAATATCCGTGGCAAGTTACAAAAATATATTTTTAAAGTGACGATTTAATCCCTACAGACAAATAAGAACAAAAAAAAGACTTACTTGGCCTTAAGTTTGTTGAGTTGGTCAATTTGTTCACCCATTTCAGAAACAGCATCGTTGTGCTTCTTGCGGAGGTTAGCAAGAGTGCCTTCGTGTTGGATGTTGGCTTCTTCGAGGTCACGACGGAGTTTCGAGAGTTCAGCTTCGCGTTTCTTGTTGAGTTCGATTTGAGCTGAAGTAGCGCCACCGGCTTCTTCGAGACGTTCGCCGAGTTCTTCCAATTCGCGGGCCAAGTCAGCGCGTTGTTTTTCGGCTTTAGCACGAGCTTGACGTTCGGCTTCGACTTCTTCTTCGAGTTCTTCGATACGGGCCTGGAGTTCCTTAACCTGTTTTTGTTGTTTACCTACAACGGATTGTTCGTCTTCGAGCTTGGCAGTGAGGGATGAGATTTCCTTGTCTTTGCGTTGGATGGTCTGTTCGAGTTCCTTCTTGTTGCGTTCCAAGTCGGCTACAGCTTCTTGGGTGAGTTTCAAGTCGCCTTCAACCTTACGTTTGGTCTTCTCTACGTCACCGCGGAGTTTCTTTTCGCGTTCCAAAGAGTCTTCGAGTTCGTCCAAGGTTTGTTCGAGTTTAGCTTTAACTTTGTTGAGGTGGTTAACTTTGTCTTCAGCGGCTTGGAGTTCTTCGGATACTTTCTGGCTGTTTTCGCCGGAAAGTTTCTTTTCTTTGTTGAGCTTGTTGATGAGTTCGTCTTGGTGAGCGATCTCGTCGTTCAAGTTCCTGATTTGGTGGTCCTTGGTAGCTTTGTCTTGTTCGGATTTCTGGAGGTTAAGTTCCAAATCTTCGATATCTTTCTTGTAACCGCCCATTTCTTGTTCGAGTTTCTTCTTTTGCTGCATAAGTTGGTTGCGGGCATCTTCCTCTTGACTTAAACGATCTTGGGTTTCCTAGAAATAATCGCAGATAATAAATTTTTCCGGTTTGTCTTTAAGTATTTAGATGATATATACAATATTTGGGTCAATCGTGCAATAAATTTTGTGTTACAGTAATTACGTTAACTAACACCTATGTGTGCCAATATAAATTTCGATCGTAAGATATTTATTAATTTTTAAAAAACGCATCAAATGTACAAGTTGGCGAGGAGCCAATAAAATATTCTCCTACATTCATTAGTTACTAAGTTTATTAAAAATTTGAAAATTAATTTAGCCTAGAGTGATAAATGTAAAATTAAGTAAGAAGCGTATAAAATAAATTTGAATACTTACAGAGAGTTGAGCTTCAAGATCGTTCTTTTGGGCTTGAAGTTTGTTGGCCCTTTCTTGGACTTCAGAGAGAGATCCCTTTTCGCCTTCCAAAGTGCTCAACAAGTCGGTCTTTTCTTTCAAAAGTTTAGCATAGAGTACTTCGAGTTCCTTCTTGGCCTTTTCTTCACGTTCGAATGCCTCTTGAGCTTTCTGTGCTTTCTCTTCAAGTTTCTGTAAAATGTCCTCTTTATTAGCAACGTCAGTTGATTCAGTATCAACCATTGTGTATGTTCGAGCGTTCGAGTCGTAACGAAACCAAAATGAGAGAGGGTGTGCGAAAGAAGGAGGCCAGGCAGTGCCGAGTTCCGCGAAAGACTGGATACTGGAGAGTGAGTGTAAGTGTTTCGGGAGATATGTAAGTCTTGCGTGGGTAGAATGGGAGGACTTGATGAAAGATTAGAAAAATATGCGGTGCTTCATAAATTCGATGACAGATTTAATGGAAGTTGAGTTTTATATTTAGATTAATATAGGACAGGTAATTTTTAGTGCAGCTATAAAAATCCTTGTTTACGTATTTAAAAACACTGTAAGCTTGTGATAATTTGGATACGTGAATGCCGATGTTTATTAAATGACGCATAATGTAGACCGAGATTTATTTCTAACGCTCTGTTTATAAATCTTTGGCGCTTTAGAGCTAAAAACCTCATTGAATCGAACCGAGTTTATGGAAAAGACTATAATTATTTTCTAACGAGAGGTATTTCGAGGATACAAAAATAATCGCGAAACATTTGACAGGAAATATTTGATTATTATTGGAAATTTTGACGGTTTGTTTTTCATTTCATTTTTGCAGTTTTGAGAATTTCCAGATTAAATTGTGCAGCTGTCGATCTCAAGACGAAAATTATAATAAACTGATGAATCGTTTAATTAAGCTCAAAAAGGTTTGGTTTCGATTTTTTTCTTATTAAACGCTAAATATTAAATTGAAATCTAATTTAATTTTTTTTTCATAAAATTTTTAAATTAAAATTGTAGGTTTAGTTGATAATGACTAGTGACAATATTCAACCAAAAAAAGGTTCTTTTTTCACAAATTCTCTAATTAAAATAAAAAACCTACAGTTCTCAATAATTCTGTATTTGTGCATTTAAAACACAATACAAAACCATATTGGGGTTTTAAAAAATGAATTTTAAATCAAAAACTGTAAAATTGAATCAGCTGTGATACTTTTTTAATTTTTAGTTGGATTATATTGAGTTATTTTTTAGCTCATATTTTTTCTTATAGTTTTTCTTATTTGTTTCATATACAAAATAATCATATTGTTTTTTAATTTTCTTTTTTTTACTTGACAGTTTCAGTTTCATTATATATCGAACTTTAAAGCTAGATGAAATATTATTATGTTGAATTATATGTTTTTAAAATAGATTTTAGTACACAAGGTGTTCCGTAATCATATTCCAATATTTCAACTACTAATCATTTAAAAGGGTTTTTTTTTATAAAATTTTGCAATTTGGGTCCTTTTTTTTAAAGGATTATCTTATATTAAAACGTCAAGACATTGTTTTATTTTTTTGTACCTAACTGTTAAATATACGAAAAATTTACGCGAGTGAAAAAAGTCTCTAAATTACTTGTAGTACTTATCAAAAAACATTCAAAATGTTTTTTTTTTTATAATTGGCTTTCAAAGAAATAAGATATGAAAGAAATAAAAAAATACGTTGCTTATTTCTGTCCTTTAAAAATATGAACTGAAATGAACAACATAGAGTTCGACTAAAGGATAACGTGTACCAAAATTACAATTTCCGATTTCAAGAAAACATTAAAATTAATTTTCGCCATTTAGGGACCTAAATGTCTCGACAAAGGATCCAAATTGAATTTTTTTTATCTAAAAACCTATTTTAAATTGTTGGTAAAACACCCTGTTAAAATATTGGAATATCATTATGGACCTTCTCAAAAATTCTCGTGCATTAGTATTAAAGTTTTAATTGTACCCTGCCAGGCTTTTTTTTTATTCTTTTTATTGCCCTTATTTCACATGGGCTTGTCTCCCAGAGTTTCAGCGTGGCGGCACTACAGTCTTCATTTCCACCACATAATAGATGGCTGAAGATTAAACTGTCGAATTGCGAGTAACTCCGATTCATAACCAATACCCACAGTTCTTTATATCTTCATCTTCTTTAGATACTTTCTAGATTTCTTCGGGTTTCGAATGTTGTACCTTAAAGTACAAATTCTGTTCCCGTTTGACTTCGGCAGTAGTAAAGAATGTGAAGGGAATAATCTTCTTCCTCTTCATATTTTCTCTATAACACCTCAAACTCTTACATTCCTGAGTAAATATGAAACAAATTCTCATGTATTACTAAGGGAATGGTTAAACTCAATTCCATTAATTTCTAAAATTATTTAATCGCATTTGAAATTTGATATCGCGGTTGTATGAATTTTAAATTGTATTTCGCAATTTAATTTTAGAACTATTGTTGACTTTTGACAATAATTCAAAACACCTAAATCAAAAATGATTTAAAGCATTTCATAAACTTTTTCCGGCAATCAATTTTTTATTGCATTTCTCAATTGGTGACTAAACGCAGTCAGTTTAAAAATATACCTATTCTGCTTTCACTACATTAGTTTAATTTTGTAAACCAAACTATTTTGAGGTTAGTACTTAATGGAGTTACGCATCAAAGTATATTAATATTAATATTATTCGGTTTCCATTTTGACGTGAACAGCTGGTCAAATATAAATATTGTACCAATTTCAGGATTTTAAGAGCAGGTGCATAAACGCCTTCATATACTTATTCTAAATTTCAATTACCAGCTACATAATTTACCGTATCGTGTATAAATTATTTGCTCATTTTATATTTTTGGAAGCGTAACCGAATGTTATCGGTATTTGTGATTTGTGAGCCTATTTGCATTTATCAGAGGCCGATTCTAATTTTATAACACGTACATTCATCAGTAGGTGCAAGAAAACATCATAAGAAGAAAATATAAAATGCACTGAAAAGAAACGTAGGTGCAGAACAAACATAACTCATATTTTATCGAAATTTTACCATTAGATACACAAATAAAACAAGAACAAAACCTATATTAATATCTTCGTTCGTTATAACCAATAAGTTATTTACGAATTTAGTCATGATTTTTTACATTTAATTGGAATTAACAGCGCTCCTAACTGGCCAAAAATTTTACTGCAATTAATCTCTGATTGTGTTGGCATTTCGCAAACTTTAGCCAATAGTTCAAGAGAGCTAAACTTACTCGTGCAAGTTGATCATTAGCCTTAATGAAAACTAAAGTGATCCTCCAAAATTTTTTGATACAGATATATCCAAATACTAAATTAATATTACTGATTGCTAGGCGAATCTCTTTCAAGTGGATTTTTTCTGGATTATTCATTTGGAATTTTATCTTCAATGAAATATAAGCAGTAGTTCTGTTGCTGATATACCTTGGTGGCTTAGATATATTAAGAATTTGGTATTGAAGCCTCTGGACTTGCGCTGGTATGGGACTGCGTCAAAGAGCTGAGGATTTTGGTCATAAGAGGATCGAAGGTAATTTAATATCAAAAAGTACAATATCAGGATTCATAACAAGTACTTAGCAAAATTTTAGGAAGACCATGTTTAAAAAGAACAGCTAAATTACTGTCTATGAATAGAAATCAATTGCAAACAAGGACATAATTCAGGACTGAAAATGCACCACCTGAACAAAATAAGCAAGCATAATAGAGACATATCATATTTATAAAGGCCTAGAATAATTAAAATGGGGTAAAACTAGATAAACCAATTTCCATCTGTGGAGCTAGGTATGTACTTGGTATTGAAATATTTAGAACGTATGAAATTTAAATCATCAAAAATTTGATGATTTTTCTTTTATTGTTTACAGATTTTATTTAAAAAGCGTTGCTTTTTTAGGGGCGTTCTTGGTAAGCATTGGTTTAACATATTGGTTTTGCATTTTATATAGTATGTTTACTTAAATGGCAAAAATATGATAAAAAGTGTTTCTTCATATTTTTTTGACAAATCTCGTATATGACTGAAGAAAATTGATACCTGATGAAATTACTTTAGGTATTAGACCATGTAGAACTTTTTTTATAAAAGAAATTTGATTTCAAAATGATTCCAATTTTATTATGGTGATGAGAGATTGCAGTAATATGTTGCAAACGATAAAAAATTACTTAAGATAATTATAAAAGATTATTATCACTGATAATTCGAGAAACAACTTGGTAACACTCTTGTAAGCTAAATCATTCTAGGAAAATTTTAAATAGAAAATTTTAAACTGAATACAATGAATATTCATTATTTCCTATATTGTTACAAGGCAAATTAATGGAGCGAAATAATTCTAAATATTATATTTAAGAATGTTGTAAGGAATAGAATTAGATGAATGCTGGTAGAAAGATAATAATGACATAAATAATGTTGAGAACTTTACATTCTTGAGTTGAGCACATCATTTTAAACCTTCGAGAAGAACAATCAGATTTCTAGACTTCAGAAAAAAGAAAATCATCAAAGAACCCACCTTCTTTCCAGGGATTAACAACAACATCTGAATATGAATTAGTTTCTTGTATAAAAATTATTAAATTTGTTACTTACAGCAATTTCATCCTCGATACGGGTGACGTTGAGGAGTGGTCTGACCTTCTGCCACAATTTGTACCATGGCCAGGTACGCAACTTGAGGTATTTGCGCAAGTTTCTCTGGCACACTTGGAGAGCCAAACGTTGCTCTTGCAATTTCTTGAATTCCTTTCTCGAGAGGTAACCACGGATCCAAGATTGCATCCAGGTGACGATCTTGCTAAGACGTTCGTCACGAAGTTCTTCCATTTGACCCAAGACTCCGGCACGGAAGAATACCTAGGTATTTCGTTAAATCAGGATTGATACTACCGCCGAATATGTCGGATATGAGAAAGAGTTTTATTTTAGGAATAGATAATTAATATATTTTGTTCATAATTCTTTTGCAGGAAAGAAGAGGAAGCACCAATCCTTAAATTTCTTTTAATAGTAATTTCTCAAAACAATTTTCCACTGAGGTAAGAAGAAACGAGGATCGTTAAGAAGTTATTAATTATTTTAGCAATGATTTTGACTATCTTCAACAGTTTTTGTTCATTTTTTTCGAAAATATAATTACCAAATTAAGAATACTTTCATTTATTAAAGACAACAAGTGTGCATGAGCTACTTTTCCTTCTAGCACAGTGACTTGTTGCACGAGCCGTTAGACAATCGAGTTGGAAAAGTGCTTTGCGCATATGTATACTTTTTATACGACCATACTTTCTAAAGCTTACAGAATGTAGATATGTTTTATTTTATTTATTTGCACAATGTGACATAAAATAAATAAGAAAGCATCAGCCTCAGTTCAATGGCACTAAATGATGTTTTTTTTTTAAATTATTTACTTGAATCAACTTTAATTTAATTTGTTTCAAGGCCTAATGGCATTTGGGCTGAAACCGGTAGCCAATTCATTATTAATAAAAACATTAACGCAGTTGAATATAGTTGAATAGTTGAATTAAAGGCTGTAGGTGGCGTAGATTAGATTAGGAGTTGGACGTTATTTGTCCTTGTCCACCGTGACCTTTTCAGATCTATTGTAAGACTCCGTTTGTTTTAGAGTATGTCGTCTAGCCTGGTGTTTTTTATTAGACTTAGTAGCTTTGATAGTGGCTTCCGCATGTAGTTACATGCATTTAGCTTTTCTTCGCCCAATGTTAGAAACCTCATTCCAGCCAGGCCTTCATATTGATACAGGACGTGGAATGATGTTTTCTCTACTTCTTCACAGAACCTACACAAAGTTGCTTCTTCTGCTGGATTGATGACACTTATGTGCCTTTTGAGGCGACAGTGTCTAGTAACAAGACTTACTGTTATCCTAACGGTTTAACGTTTTTGATCCAGTAGGTTTTTCGTAAACTTGGCCGATAGTTCCTTGATGAACTGTTTGGCCTGTCTGTCTTGGATAGTTGTTCCACCATTCTTGAGACTCTTTTTGCATCCATTGTTTAATGGATGCCTTGCACAATGCCTTAGAAACTTCACAGAAGGGTTCGGGGGCCTGTCATGGCCTTATCTGAGCCTTCTCGGGCTAATTCGTCGGCCTTTTCGTGCCCTGATGTCCCTCATGGCCTGGAACCCAGGCTAGGGTCACCTTATTTTGACTACTTAGCTCTGTCAGGTCTTCTAGACAGTCTTTCACCAATCGTGATTTGATTTCTGGTGAGAGAATTGCCTTTAGAGCTGCTTGGCTATCAGAGTATATGACAACAGTTTTGCCTGATACTTGCTGATTTAATATTTCTCTTGCACAGTGTTGTATGGCTATTAGCTCAGCCTGGAACACTGTTGCATATTTTCCTAAACTCAGCGAAATCGTTGATTTCGACTTGGGTCCATAGATTCCAGCACCGGCTCCTTCCTAGGTGGCGTAACTAAGTGCACGATTTTATTGATATTTTTTGTCACTTTACCAACACATCTGTTGAACTTTGATGCGGAAAAGCATATTTTGAATAATGGTAGTAGAAAACATCCTTTTAAGTTTAATCAAGTTCATTTCACAAAAGCCTTTAGACTCAAAATTATACTATACGTCCTTATTTATTGAGTAGAATATGTAGAAGTTAGTGTTGGGAATACCCTGTACTCGTATAACAAAATAATGATCGTTGTATTATACAAAGTTAGGGAAAATATTTTTTGAGAAATTACTAAAAGTTTTTCAAAAGAAAAGTTCTTGCTCAGCTTTATATAGGGTGGTTAAATAGTTGATTAATTACTTTTAAGTTTATAGAATATAGAAAAAACATTTTTTAAATATACTAGTATGAACTTAATAAAGAAGGAAAAATTGTTACAACCTTTTTAGTGCAGCTAACTCACTCATTATGGTAGGGGAACCAGTGACACTTTTAGGTGTGTTATTTATGCAAGGCAAAATTGGAACTTTTTCGTTCATTCTTACCTTTTAAAAAAATATACCAATGAAAAACATTATTTGTATTCTAATATTTTTTTAGCTAATGTTATTTTACTTTTATTGTCCTATGTGATATTACAATATTTTTAATTTCGACAAAATATCCGCAAAATTTTTTAAAATTTACATATATAAAAAACAAACCTACTCACCCACTTACAATTTTTTTCTAAACCATTATCACAATAGTACAAAATAAATAGCGGAAAGATTGACGGATTGTCTAACTGTTTGGTTATATTGTGATGAATGATATATACTTAAAATAAAAAAAACAGCAATAGTCGTATTTTTTAATTTTTCATATTTATCCCAAAATAAAAGAATTTAAAAAACTCCTTTTATCGGAAATTGAATCCGGGCCTCGAAATCCAAAGTTGAGAACTTAACGACCTGAGCCATGAAGGCTTATCCAATAAAATATGTGACATTAGCATTTTCTACAACGGCCTATTTAAGACATCGTTATCGAGCGTTTCACCACTGGTGCTCGTGCATCAAAGTATTTTTATTTTCTACAAAGCAAGAATGAACAATAAATTTGCAAATTAGCCTTGCGCAAATGTGTACCTAAAAAGTGTCCTCTACCATGATGGTTAATCAAAAAAACTATTTATTAGGTTTGAAAGAAATGCCTACTGTGGGTACCTACCATAGCGTGGATTATGATGTTTTTCATTTATTTTTCTTGCTATCTATAGGCAATTTACTGTGAAATCTGCATAGATATGCAATTAATTATTACTCAGAGGCCAAACATAAATGAAAACCGTACATTTTCTTAATTTAAATTTTAAAACTTTTTGGATACTATACTTAAAAGAAAAGAATCAAGTTTTAAATCACCCTGTATAAATGTATGTAACATATAATTAATTTTGATTCATTATTAAGTATCACTATGGGTTTTTCAATTTTCATTAATGATTTCTTAATAATATTACCAAAAATTATAGAAAGTTCTAATAACATTTAAAATTATCTATTCAAAAAGAAAAAAAAGTGAATTTGTTAGATCTAGGCTTCTTTACATCTGTAAGCAAATGTTACATTTCCAAAGGAATTATTGTTTCATTCCCTTCAAAACATCGCATGAACAGCCAAAAACAAATAATTTTTAATTTCCTTGCGATTTTATTTATGTTTCTGTTAAAATATATTTCTCACATTTGTATACATTTTACTCGGAAACAAGATATTTTGAACCTAAGCCAATTAAATTACAAATATATTTTTTTTGTAAACATCTTTATATCTCACATATTACCATTAGGGAAGATCTAGATACATGAGTCCTGTTCTATCATTATTCCTAGGAAAGAATAAAAAGATTTGGAGTGAACAGAAGAGATTCAAATACAATAATAAATTATTTTTATTTAAAAAAAAATCTAAATAAGGGCAGCAGAAGAAATTAAGAATCTTATGAATTAGGCATAGTTTTCAAAAAATGTGACAGAATAAAAAAGCGATTTCTCTATAAAACAAGAACCAATAATTATGGCAAGTCCGTATAATAACTAATTTGATTAATTAGGATTAATCCATATAGAATACTGTCTTAAAGGAATGAGACAGTAGTCAGTAAAAGATAGGTAGGCGTGAAACAATTACTGATGCTTTTTCCACTGATGATCTTTCTAACAGAAAGGCCGTTACTGTACGGAGAAATTATTAGCAGGTGGGATACGAAGATATATGAATACTTACCTGGAGCGTTCAGAAAAAGAACGTTAGTATTGAGTAAGAGAGAAAACAGTATACGATGCAGCAAAGGGACTTAAGAAAAGTTTTCCTTTGAAATTACCACGTCATTCCTAAAGCGGCACTGTGAAACAAAACGTAAGCAGTCGATGCCGAAGAAGATGATATAAAAAAGTAAACTGATTTATTTGTAATTTAACAAAAAGGTAAAGCTTAGTTTCTAAGTATGCTGTTTCGGAAAAATGCGTTTAAATCCATCAAACTAATAAGCTAAGCGACCAATTATTGCTTGAGCAAAAAATAAAAATTTAAGCACAGCCTGTTTCGGTTAAAACAGTTTAAAGTAGCATTTACTTTGAATGAGGTCTCTACCTTCGTTTTACCCAATCGATATTGCTCAGGATCGAGTTGGGTTTGATCCAATATGATTTGTGCGGCTTTTTCAGGTGTCATATTGCCTCTTACAGCGCTTGCGGCCAGAATTTTGTATCTGATTAGCGCAAGGAAACAAAAATAACATTTAAAAAATCATAAAAAAAAAACAAAATAAAAAGACGAATACATAAATACACATTGTGTCTGTCTATTGACAAATGTGTGAAAAAAAAAAAGATCAAACATATTGAGTCAATGGTTTGTTCAAGAGCATGACTCAGAAACACATAAAAACAAAATAACATGCCTTTGTATGACCAAGACGGTACAATTCTGCATCTAAACCGGATGCATCCAGAATGAGAGCGGCGCACTTCTTGGGGTCGCTTTCTTTGGTAACAGCAGCTGGGTTGAGGATCTTGTAACTAAGGGTAACAAATTAGGACAAATCCAATGTACTTCTAAACGGTATAGACTCTTACTCTACACTAACTCAATCGCAAAAATTCAACAATTTAACTAACAAATAGTCATACACAATCTCCATTTTACTTTAATGCCTGTACATCATACAAGAACTGTAGCAAGTAAAGTAGATTTTTTTAAATGTTTTTTTTACAGTTATAAAGTTTGTGTATGCATATTAATAACAAAAAAATACTTCGACGAAATACAGGGAGTGAAAATCAACAGTTATTTCGGACAACGTTTTTACTGGACCTAAAAAAAATGTAAAAACCGTGCAAAATGGTTTATGACGATATACAGGAAAATACAGGTAGTCTGACAAAACCCTGCTTGCCTTTGTGTGCCCTACACGGTAGCTGTCAGGATCTAAGCCAACTTCTTCTAAACATTTTCTTGCTGCTTCTTTTGCATCTTTTTCTTTGGTCATTGTTGCCGGGGCCAAGATCATGTAACTATATATAAAAAATATTTGAGGATATTTTTTTGGGTACCTAAAGTTATACCTACTTTACCGGTTACTGTATCTTTATCTGGATAGAGTAATGGAAGATTCGTCATATAAAATTTAAAGTTACTCGTATGTGGAACCATCAGAAAAAGTGCTTGATTGATTTTAAACAATATCTGAACTTGAATCACTTAATATTCCAAGGACCCCACAAGAGTAAAATATAGAAAAATGATTTACACTTTAAATTAAATGAAGGTGTATTGATATCTAGTTAGCATTGGCCTGTTGCTTGGGTAAACAAATGAGTGCGACGAATAGTAACTTATTAGAAATGACATTGTGAATTCACGTCAAAGGGTCAAAGCAATAAAAAAAGAATGTTGACAAAAATTGATAAATAAGCAAATTTACGAATATATTATTAATTAATACCTTTAAAACTGTTAAAATTGGTTTAGTTATGTTTCCAATTTTCAAAAGAGGTACATTTATGCCATGTATTGTCATAATTACGCTAAAATGAATTTTATTTAATACCTAAGTCACTGAATATGCAAAATTAAGATGATGACTTCTTAACTAATGTTGTCTCCATGGAGGAAACTTAAGTGAATTTCTACGATCCGGAAACAACACATCAATCGATGGAAGCTGTGTCTTCAAAGCTAAAGAAGTTACGTGTTCAAAATTTTTCTGACAAAAACCTTGCTTTAGTTTTTTGAGATTGTTATGGAATAAGCATGATTATCTACATGGGTAAAGAATCACTGGATAGTAATAGTAATTTGACGTTATTGACTGTTTCTAAAAGAAAAATAATTCGGAAAGTTTCAGGTTTGCTGTAAAAGATGCATTAAATTTTGTTTACTTCTGTAGAAGGCTTAGTATCAACACCCTCGTACAATAAACTGAAAATAAGTTAACTTTGTTCAGTGAACAATTATTTTAAATTATAAAGTGAAAAAAAATGTGTTCTTACCGAAGTTTGAAGTCAGGGTAGACCATCCTGTTGGGGAATCCTTTACGACAAATACGGATTCCTTCAAGTACACCGTTACATGTCAACTGGTGCATTACCAAGTGAGAGTCAATAACACCGGGCTGTTTCAATTCGTTGGGAATGATACAACGTACGAAATGAGGTTGGGTTGATCTCAAGGTGGTCATCAAGTTGTTCAATTGTTCCTAAAGGAGTTAATTCGAAATGTTTTTAAGGATGCCTTTATTTAGCTAGTTTTTACATTAATCTGTTAATCAATTAGCTTTGGAAAAGGGATGTGAAGCCGCCTTTAAGTAAATTAGGCGTTGTTGGAAAACAAATTAAAATACAAAAATAAGTATTTGTCTTTCTATTGCAATATAGTAATTAGGTACTATTAACTTTATACAGATATCTTGAATCTTAAGTTGTGTATTTTAATTTGCTTTTTAGAGTTATTACATCGGCAATTATATAGGTAAGAGGCAGTGTGTATTGTGCCTTATATTTTTATAATCAATTGGTATACAAACAACATAACTATTAATTTATGTCCATACTGTACTCTGGTATGGTTGTCACACAAAAATAACATTAAATGGATATTGTCACTAAAAGTAGGAATGGAATATTAATAATAATATACAAGCAGCGTCAAGTGATAGAGTTGGCAGTTCCAATTTAAATAATTACAGCTATCGGCCAAAATAATAACCAATATCTTGGAATACATTATTATATCACAATTACAAAAAAACAACAACTATCCCTTAACGCAAAATTTGGAATTAAATTTTCTAAATACTATATACCATCTCATGGAGGCAATAATACCATACTTGTATCGGGCATGGTTCAAGAAGTATATTTCACACGTGACATCTATAAAGTTAGCACTAATATTCTTTAAAACTGTTTTAAATAAATTTTGTACAATTTAAACATACCTTATAGGCAGAAGATACTGTGGCAAAACCACCACCCTTCTTACCACGACCTAGTTTATAGCAAATAAAGCTGTTTAATATCATAAAATAAAAAATAAAATAAAATTTATTAATAATAATCGAAAAATAACAGAGCGGGGAATGAGCAAGGATGGGTCGTGTTCTTTAAAAGGAATTATGAGATAGAAAGAGAGAAAAAATTCAGAGCTGCGTCAAGTAGCAGTGTTCATTTACCCTGTATAAACTGGATACGGTTTGGAAAGCAGAACCCTTGGTTCTCTTTGCACCTAATATAGGAAGAATATATTTGAATAATTTATTCAAAAAACAAATTTAACGGCTTATTTAAACAAAAACAAATCATCAACAGTTTAATAGATTTTAGGAGTTATTCTAGTAGAACAAGTTCCTAATAAGACTATAACAAAAGCGTTTTATAACACTCTTATGAAGATATCACAATACTTTTAGAAATAATTAAAATGTGCTCATAATGGGCCTTTTCATTACATTGCTGTCGTATAAATGTTCTTAAAATTGATTATCATAACATAAAATATGTCTTAAGTAACAATAATCAACATATTTTAAAAGTGGACAATTAATATTAGAGGTGAAGTGATTTGATTGTATTTAAATAAGACAAATAGGTAACTATATAGTTTTGATTTATTGTAATGTAAAATTCAAATATTTTTGCTAAAATAATTACGAATTTACCTTTTTCGGCTGCTCCACCAGATTGTCCAGGGTGATCAGCGAAGATTTCAATTACCAATTTGTTGCTACCTTTCTTGAACAAGTCTACTACGGTGTCGTTCAAGGGGTCCTTGTTCTTTTCCAACCAACCGGAGATGTTGTATGGTACCTAAATATTTGAACGTCCAGGTAATAATTATCCAAAGTCATACTTGAAGGAATACATGTATGATACTTACATTACCAGCATAATGTCCCAAGGTGAAGTGGGCGGCAACTTGACCAGGCTTTGGTGGTTTGGGTTTCTGGAAGTTGGGTGATTTACCCAAATGGTTGGTGTTCAATTTTTCTTCAAAGGTCTTGTCAGTGGCTTTGGGGAACATAGATTCTTCTTCAAGGATGGACAAGATACCCATGGGCTAAATATTACAATTAATTTAATTTGCTGTTGACTACTTTTTGTGTAGTTACGACTTGAAACATGCGGGTGATTTGCAAGTAGATAAGAAGTGAGAATGAAAGTGAAGAGTTGAGCACAAATTCCTCAAAAACACTATATTTATCTTTTAAATTTTCTCATCTCTACGTACACTTTTCAAGCGAAGCTAATATAGGAAATCTATTTTTATTAAATAACAATTGTATCTACTTGTTTATTACTCTACCAGGAAAATATGTTGTTCTAAAAGTGACTAAAATTATACTATTTCATTGCTCTAAATCTTTACTATTATAGCAGAAAAGTCACTAAACAATACGAAAAAGTGAATTCTACATAAAGTTTTCTATTTCTCTCATAATTTTAAAAATCTAGGTTTTTAGGAATTTCCACAATTTAGATTTGCCGATATTAAATGAAAGTATGGAGAGGTAATAGAAAAGTCAATAGTTTTACGAAAAATAAAACATTAAAAAAACAAAATTAGAGAACCCCGCACTTTTTATATTGATTTTAGGTACTTTTAGAAGTTGTTCAAATTTGACTGTTATTTTTCAGGTAATTAAAGATAACTTTTTTAAAGACACCAATTTTGCAGCTCTATGGGGTGAGCTGCTAGATGAAGTCAAAACTAAAGGCCGCAGAACTAATATCTTTATAGGTACTATTTTTATACTAGATTTTCTACCGCTCTTAAGTAATTCATGTTTTTTCCATGGATTGAAACAGCGAAGGAAAAACTTTTTTATTTTCCCCTTTTCGGAAAAATATTATTCTGCATGAAAGTTTTTGCTTGTTTTAAAACTAATAACAATTTAAACAGGAATTGAATATCACTGCTTTAGTGAAATAATAAAGTATTTAATTAATCAATAAGAAAGTACCTACACATAGTATTAAATCTTGTATGAGGATGCGGAACCCTTCATGCGCACTTGGCCGAATTTTTTTTTAATATTTTTGTTAATATTTCACTAGAGCAAAGAGATATTTAACTTCTGTTTCAATTATTGTTTTTCTCTTTTTCAGTCCATCCGGGACACCCTTTATATGAAAATATTAATCTGCACTCCTTACTTTTGACTCCTTCTAACAGCTTACCCGGTAGAGCTGGAAACTTGGGGTCTGTAAGAAAGTTATCTTTAATGACCTCAAAAATAACAGGTACCTAAATTTGAAAAAAAATCTGACAGTACCCAAAATCAATAAAAAAAGTGAGGGATCCTTTCTATATCTACAAAAAATCTGGTGTTAAAAAATCTAAACTAAGTAAACATTTTTTACTAATTTTGAGAGCCTACTAAATAATAAGTGATTATTTTTATACAGTACCTGTGAAGTGCCAAGGATACGGTGCAATTTAGAAAAGCAAGCACAATAATAAGTGTCCTGTGCATATACTAAAAGTGCTATTATGATAAATAAACTAGACGTTCTCGATAAGTGAGATACCTTTTCTATTAAATCAATGCAGGGCTGTAAATCCATACCGAAATCAATAAATTTCCAGACAATACCTTCCCTTTCGTATTCTTCTTGTTCCAATATGAACATGTGATGATTATAAAATTGTTGCATTTTTTCGTTGGAATAGTTTATGCACAGTTGCTCAAAGCCATTATACTGTAAGTAACACTGTTAGCAAAACACATAAAGCGTATTCGATTTTATGTAGTAAGGTGTTCAGAAAGTTTCTTTACGATATTTTACAATGAAATTTACTGAAGATATTTTATCAAACTATTCTGAAACCATAAGAAAAAAATACATACAGAAGATTCATTTCAAATAATTTTTACAACAAACCAATTTAATAATTACATAAAGGAGATGGCGTTAATCTTGTAAAAGCTTATGGAATACTTAATTTATTTATTTTAGGAACTAAAATCTTAAAACTTGGGATTAGAGGTTATAGAGGATGCTCTATACATCTAAAATTATTTAGGTAGAATATTTAGATATTTGATTTAAATCTATAAATGGAAAAATTACTGGGTAAATTGTAGTTCATTCGTTAAATGAATAATTTGTCTAAAAGAAAGTTTTTTAAATATATCTAGAAATAAAATATAAGGCCCGCTTTCCACTATGCTCTTATTATAAAAACAAAAATAAAACAAAATATATGGAAATGGGGACCCTACAAAAATAGGAAACAAAAATAAATTAGTTATTGAAGATAATGGCGGAAACTAGAAATATAGAGAATGGAAAACTTTAATTATCTTGGCCCTGTTTACTAAAAACGGGAGAAACGAAAAAAATCAAAGATAAAATAGGGAAATAATGTGTGCTGGGCAAATTATGAAAATCCTAAGATCAAAAGTGATATCCATCAGAGCTAAAATCAGGATATAAGGCAGTCTGTATCCGTAAGCTGAGGTAGGGTGGTTTGCACAGCAGTTAGGCCACCTCCAGGGGCATATAGGACCTGCTTCTAAACTTTTCAAAACCTGCTGGTTGTCGCTAAGAGGTGTCTAGAAACAGCCATCTTTCCAGCTCATCAAAGTCCTGCAAGTTATCAACTCGTCAAAAACCTGCTGGTTGACGCTGAGGGTTGTCTAGAGACAGCCATCTTCTCAGTTCGTCAAAGTCCTACAGGTTATCAACTCATGAAAAATCTGCTGGTTGTCACTGGGGGTGTCTATAGATAGCCAGTCGCTCAGGTCAAAGTCCTGCAGGTCGCTTAGAGGTGTCTCTATATACCTCATTTTGAAGAAGTGGCCATTTGATGTGCTTATACCAACCTATTGGTAAATACCTGGGTGTAGACATTCTGTCCTTCTATGCCACAGGGCAATATAAGACTGTAAGAAGGCCCTCAAATTGTGAAATCTGGACAATGAGAAATGACAAATTAAACTGGATATATGGGTAAGAAAGATGGAAGAAAGAATATATGGATGTAAAAACAAATTGATGGGATTTGGCATAGAAGAAAAAATAAAGCACTATATGACCTACACACAGATGCAAATAGAGTAAAAGTCATCAAGACCCAAAAAATACGATGGATGGGACATATATTTCAAATGCAAAATGATAAAATTGCGATCCCAAATCACCAACCTCAAACTAGCCGAAGTAGAGGTTATACGAGAGAAGCTGATAAGGATAGAAAAAATAGACAAAAATATAAGGTCTGTTGCGCTTTCTACATAAGTAATATGGGATAGTGGGCTTACTTTTATAAGTTTTTATTAACAGAAGGGTAAATTGACTGTTAAAATATAAAGATAAAAATATATTCATTGAATAATCACCAATTAGTCAATTTTTATAAGATCACCGCCATCTGTAATCTGTTTTTTACGTTAATTCTGTACGATTTTCTGTTTCATAAAATCATATGTCAAATACATTGAAAATTAGCAAGCATTAATTGAGGACAGGTAAGAAGTTAACCCTGTAACTTTATACAGTTCTGTACCTTCTCAATAAGTTCGATACAGGCTGCTAAGTCCATACCGAAATCAATAAAAGCCCATTCAATACCCTCTCTTTGGTATTCTTCTTGTTCAAGTACGAACATGTGATGGTTAAAGAATTGTTGCAACTTTTCGTTGGTAAAGTTGATGCAAAGCTGCTCAAAGCTGTTGAACTATTCAAAACAAACACAATAACTACTACGGACATTTTGATTCACGTCCTGATCCATTGGTGGAATCAAAATAAGACAATAACAACATATATACAATACACAGATTAATTAAAAACGTATATGTACGACGACACAATGTTTTGTAGACATATTTAACACAGAACGGCGTCAAACTTTTGAAGCTGCTGGAAACCGGCCAAATTACCTTTTCAATCAATTCAATACAGGCTGCCAAGTCCATACCAAAATCAATGAAGGTCCATTGAATACCCTCAGTTTTGTACTCTTCTTGTTCGAGTACGAACATGTGGTGGTTAAAGAATTGTTGCAATTTTTCGTTGGTAAAGTTAATACACAGTTGTTCAAAACCGTTGAACTATATAGGAACAAACGTGGTTAATTAATAATAAAACAATTCTTCTAGTTCCTAATGTTAGTGAGCGGCGGGCCTACCTTTATGCTGAGCAATTAATAAAAAAAAAATAGCGTAAGCAAACCTTTTCAATAAGCTCAATACAAGCAGCTAAGTCCATTCCAAAGTCAATGAACTCCCAGTGAATACCCTCTCTTGTGTATTCTTCTTGCTCCAACACGAACATATGATGGTTGAAGAATTGTTGCAGTTTTTCATTAGTAAAGTTAATGCAAAGCTGTTCGAAGCCGTTGTACTAAGAAAAATATTATTGCAGTTTTAGAAAAGTCAAAGCAATAGAAACTACTTAAGCATTTACATAATTATAAATAACAACAATGTTTATTTGTTCTTAAGGCTTCCACCATAGACAGGATTGCGTAAAAAGTATTTTTATAGTATTATAACAATTGCACAATGAGTATAGAGAAAATTATAAATCTATCTTGAATTGTTTTTTTTTATCTTACTGTCTCAAATAATTTCATTGTGTAACTGTATCAATTAAAACTTACGTCAAAAATTTCAAAACCAGCAATATCCAGTACACCAATGAAATGCTGTCTCTTTTGTTTAGTGTCCAGGGTTTCGTTACATTTCTTGACCAAGAATTTGAACAATCTGTCGAACATGGCCTTTGACATGGCACCAACGGAGTAAGATACTTGGTTGACATTACGACCTTGGGTGACGAATTCGTTACCGACCTTGATTCTTGGTTTGACAAGGGCTTGGTAGAGAGCAGGAGCCTCAACTCCCAAAAGCTTACTGACGCGCTCACCTTCCTATAAATTGATTTCAGTTAATTTAGTTTTAGAACAAATATTTATTTTTAATTACCTCGGTACCATCAGCTTCAGCTTGTTCTTCGCGACCTCTTTGTTTGAACTTCATGCAACCCATGTGCATTACAGCGGCAGTGATCTTGTAGACGTTGTCCTTCTCTTCTTGGGTGAAACCAAGAATATCGAAGGCTTCCTAAATAGTGACGAAACACTTGAATATGCAGTTATGTAAAAGTTATTAGAGATATTTAAACACTTAGCACTCTGCAAGATTTTTTAGTGGGCAAATGTGCAATAGCAACTTACTAATTTATGTTAGTTATAAAAAATGTAAAAAACGCCATTCAGAAGCTAAATGTGTAGATATTAAATGAAAATGAATATTTAGATTATACCCGTTTTCAAGACAAATAATTGGACTGTGGTCTACAATTAACAATTTTAAACAGGAACAGAGACATCACGAATTTCGGGTTGGTTGCATCATTACTTACGTCTGTCAAAGAAAATTCTTCAGCGTCATTTACATTCGGAATTGTAGTTTTTCCTTGGGATACATTGACGTAATCATAGATATCGTTTGACAGGCAACAATTTTCTACATGAACAATCGAAAATAAAAATATTTTTTGTGCGTTGAAAATAATAAAAAATAAGTAAAAAAGATCAATTCATTCTCAAATGTGACAAGGCGTATTAGATACAACCAAAAAAATGGTGGCATCCGTTACATGGATATTTACAATTTGACACCAGAACCACCAATAATTATTTCCTTTAACCACGGTCTTCACTATCCCCTCGTCCATTTTCCATCATTCCTGCTTTTCACTATACCCGCTTCCCTTATGGTTCCACTTTCTTAAATTAACGCCTTTGATTGTGTTAACATTATCTGTATTTGGGCTGTTTAAATCTTTTTTGTAGTTTCCTCTATCAATTGCTTGTTTAATTTCTTCCTTTATAGGTCTGATAATGACACTGCGACCAAGATTTTAAATATTTTTTGGTTGTATCTAACATAAGTTTGTTTGTTAATAGTCCTTTGCTCCAAACTGTTCATATTTCGATGTGTTTATTTGTTAAGGTAACAGAAAATTTATATTTTTTCAAATAAATTTAAGAAATAAATTGAAGCTCAATATACAGCAAAATTATGACTATATACAGTGTGATTTTGACGGAAGTGTGTAGTGTTGAGTTGCTGCAAAAAATTGTAATGACTTGTTAAAGTTGTGCAAATCAGGGAGCGAGCTATGCCTAGATATATGCCAATTATTTACGAAATTTGGTTGCAATATGCGCGCTCCCTGAAATCAGGGGATGAAAACGATTGTCTGTACTGCTTACGTCAGTTACAATTGCTTCTTCGCTGTCGTTTACACCAGGAATTCTGGTTTTGCCTTGTGATATGAATGTGTAATCCGATATACGATTACTCACCATACATAGCTCTAAAATCAGATAAACTAATGGTCGTTTACTGAACATACTATTAATTGGACATAAAAAGAAACAGAAATGATTGCCGTAAGCATTATAGGTAAATGTACCTAAAATGTTTTCGGTATATTATTTCTGCAGCCCTTCTCCAAGTATATGGCGCGAATTTTTCAGTATATATTTTAGGCATCGCCGCACCTCTGAATGTTAGTACAAAAATAAAGGAAAATTATGACATAAAACAGAGACAGAGATTTACAACAAAAGAGCATGAGTGTCCTGTTAAAAAGGCACTTACATCGGTAATTCTCAATTCTTCAGCATCATCTACACCGGGAATAGAAGTTTTTCCTTGTGCGATGAAGGTGTATTCAGAGACGTTATTAGATAACAAACATTTATCTAGAAGGACCAAAAAGGAATTAAATAAGCCATGTCCTATAGCGACTTATTTTGTACTACTACAAATTTTACAGAGGTAACTACTTCTACTATACAAAAAAATAAGTTAACTACTACAGATACATAGAGTCGTATATACAAAACAGACACGTTTGTTCTAGTGGGTGCCTAAATTTTTCACCCACTTACGTCAGTCAATATAAATTCTTCTGAGTCATCGATGCTGGCGACAGTAATTTTGCCTTGAGATACGTAGTGATATTGGTAGATGTCATTTGATAACAAGCAACTCTCTGTGTACGCAAAAAATATAATATAAAGAACGTGCAAAAATGTTTTCACTAATACACAGTAGGTCAAAATATTAACAAAAAACAAAAACATATTTCGTTACATAATTGTATGTACCTAAAAAAGTTTTGAGATTTGAAATTTATAAAAACGTTTTAGCGATGATTTTTGCTGGCATAGAGAACAGCTTTTGTATACTCTGACGTCCTAACAATATCTAGCAGAACTTCAATTATTAGTGTTTGTGAGTGATGTCCTAAGTCATAGAAGTATTTATAGATGATTTAAGCAATTTAACATTTAGAAGTTCTAAGTTCCACTGACAGATGAACATCGATAACAGCTAATTACTTGGTACAAAAAAACAGGTAATGATATCTGGTTTGATTAAACTTTTGCTGTTTGAAACTGAGAAGACGCCAATAATCGTTCAGTTAAGAAAAATATGACAGTGTTTTTTTTTTTGTAAAGATGGATTGAAATTAACAATTGTGGTAACATAAATTATCTACCACAGCTTGTCCAATCTCTTCAAAACTTTAGCTCAAAATTTCGAATGGATAAATGGAAGTTGCATCACGATAATGTACCAGTGAGTAGAGCCCTGCGATTTTCATTAATTTCGGAAAATTAGGAATCGGCTGAAATGACGACGATTGAGCTTGGAAACGTGCCTGGATTGAGCTCTGCCATGATAATTGAGCCAACATTTTTAAAATATGATTTGAATGAATGCATAAATGTATTATATCGAAATTTCAGAACTTTTTTAGGTACTTACTTATTTATAGGGATGAGTAAGAGTAAACAATTTGTTAAATTTGAGGAGGGTAAAGTCAGTGTCAAGAGTTTTTGTACCGTAAATAGTGTGCTGACGTTTCTTGTATATGTGTTTTGTATTTTGTATATAATTATGATAGAATAAAATAAGTACTTTAAATTTATCTGAAGATAGTTTTAATTTTGATAATCAGTTTAAAAGATTGTTTAGGTGTACTGTTTCCCAATTGTCTTAAACAAAAGTAAAAAAATAAAACTTCTGCAAAAGAAATGTTAGTAAACCATAATTAAAATATTGAAATATACAGGTTGATTTCTATATTGATGCCTACTTCTTTTTTCATTGTGTATAGAAGTGATTTATATGAACAGCTTTTTCAGATAACTTTTTCAAAAAAACTCCAAATAAAAAAGTCATAGAATTAAATAATATAAATCCGCACATAACATGTGTTAAGAAGTATGGGAGTTTTTAAGCAGTGATTTCCCAGTTAGGTGGAATGGACAAAATTAAATAGTTATGTGGTCACCGAGACTGCCAAATTTTTAATATTTTTTTTTATTTTGAGTTTTTTCAAATAAATAAATGTTTTTTTATGATTTCTATAAACTGTTATAAAATGAAGTATCAACTTAGGGAATCACCCTGTATAGATCGACGAAAATATTCATAAAGCCTGAATACTGAAATAACTGACAAAAAACCCTGTAGAGAAAATTTTTATTAGATTTATAACAAACTATTAAAAAATTAAATGGTGATAAGGTTTATTGAATGGAAAATCGAAGTATTTTAATAAAAATGTAGCATTTACAGTTTTAAATACACATTTATAGTTAAAAATCCCACATAATTTGTCAATAGTAATTTAGATATAATAAGTAACATGTGATCCACAATTTTGTATTCTAAAGTAGGCTATGACCGACCAAGACAGAGATACGAGTGCTTGATTGCCTCTAAATTAAGTCCAAACTGTCATTTAAAAATCAAGAACAATTTTACGCTCCGGAATGCGTCTTTTTTTCTTTAGAATTTTTTTTTTGTGGATCACTCCATATCATTTGTATTTAATAAATTCTATTTCACCTTTAACTCCAGCTACAGCACCAGACATAATCTGGTAGAAAATGTGGTAGGATCTTTCCAAAGGCTGTTGAGAGATGACACGAGCCTTTTCCAGCAGATCTAAAGAAAACAATTCATTAAATGTATTGTTAAAAAAATGACATTTTAAAAAACTTACAAGTTTCAATGTCAGCACCAGCCAGTTTACCAGTTGGACCGAAATGAATACGGATGAATTTACCCTAAAAAGTATTAAACGTTTAACAATTGAATTCATCTAAGTTGATAAATATAATGTAATGTCTCAATTACTGATTAATAACCTTAGGAGCGGAAACTTACGAAACGGGAGGAGTTATCGTTACGGACGGTCTTGGCGTTACCAAAGGCTTCAAGTACAGGGTTAGTTTGTACGACTTGATCTTCCAAGTTACTCTTCTTTGGTTCAGCATCTTTCTTGGATGAAGCACCAACGGTGGCGAAATAAGCAATTACTTTCTTCGTGTTTTCAGTCTTACCAGCACCAGACTCTCCACTGGTGGTCAATAAAGTAAAATTAGTTAATGAAAAATAAAATAACATTTTTCTAATAAAAAGGTAATTTTGAACATCGTTTATTTTTAAACGACTAGCGGTGCAAATTACCCTAAGGAGGAAAAAAAGCTTAGTTGAAACTGCTTTAAAAAAAATACCTACTTAAAAATAAAGAAATACATATTTTGATGATGAAAATAAATATATATTTTGATGAAGAAAATGAGAAGGGTTATTAAAATGAAAAACTACAAACGTAGCTCAAAACTGAATATTGTAAAAAACTAGTTAAATATACTATTTTATAAATAAAACAGTTGATATTATTACTGTCAAAAATGGAGGTAAAAAATAAGTGGATTAGAACCATTTTTAGGCCTATCAAAGGTATATTTCTAAGATTTCTCAGGAGATAGACCTATCAAAGAGAGAAAACATTTATACAAAAAGGAGGTATTTTTCCAGGAGAATAGCAAAATTAATTGCTCTGAACTGCAATCTAGAGAAACAGGTTCGATGACTGGTCAATTAACGATGCCTCAACAAATATAATTAACAAACTAGGCTGTAAAATGAGATTGTTGTATTTAGATTCTGTCAACTACTCTTCGGACTCTGCTACTATCACTCTGGTACGCCACCAGGACACTCTGTGTTTCAGCTTGGCGATATTGCAGCCTTTAAAGCTTATTATATCACCATTTGGAGAGTTCTACTACATGTCCAATCACACCACATGATAGATAGTTAAACGCTAGTCCGATTCTTATTCCCTAGCATTTACCCATCCAACACGTGACCAGAGAGTTCACTGCTGAACTGCGGGTAACTTTAAAAGGTAACCAATACCCACAGTCCGCCTCAAGAATTTTTAATACATAATTTTAATACTTACGTAATCAACATAGATTGATTTTCGTGGTCTGAAAAGAAAATAAAGAAACATTAGTCAACTAATAATTTTTCGGGTGGTTAGAAAATTGTTTTAGATAGTGAATAAGTGTTAATATAAACTAGAAGAGCTACGAGGGAAACTAGAAAAGTTTTTTCCATACAAAATATGGATACGCTATTGTAATCTAGCGATTATAATGTTCATACAGTTTATCAAAAAGTAGAATCCGATATTTCAATTTTTACTTTGGTTGTTTGTTGGCCTTTAAAATAGACATCAATTTCCTCTTTTAATCACGTACCGTCTGAAGTACTTTCTAAAATTTCTAAATGAAAAGAAGTCAAACGGGGTCAAATACACTTGTAGAGGATGGGTTGACTTTGGTTGTTTTGTAAACTCGCGTATCGTCGTGAAGCTCATTTTCATGACAGCACAGGTAACTGCCCTGATGCAGATAACCTTTCGATAGACTCTAATTTGGTTTCTGGGCTCCAGTTATGTACCCAAGTCTCTTACAAGACAAAGCAAGTGTATGCATCTTAAGATTCTAAATGCTTTTGACAAATTTTCTGCCTAAAAAGTTTAGGTAGGGAGTGAAGATTAGAACTCATGCTCACCTTGCCGAAACTTTACACATGCCTAATTTAATATTCTTAAAGCACTAATGCTACACCCATGTTTTATCATTAGTAGGTAAACAGTCTTAAAGGAGAAACAGCAGGATTGTTTGTGGAATATTTTCAATGGATTATGATTCAATGAATATTTTAAAATATAATAGAATCTCGTTAGTTCCCATATAATTTAATAGAACCGTTATGAGCGTCTTTATGTGTAATCGGGCCCGAAATAAGATCATACCTCTGCTACTACAACCATCATCGTCCTCCGGATGAATATGTAGTAAGTAAGCGTACTCTTAATTTAATTTTAACTGTTTAAAACCAAGCCCTTAGGGTAGTATTCCATTCTATCTACCACATTTTTGTTCCTTCGAGTCTGATTTGAACCAGCGATCTATGGATTAATTTTTATAAACTAGTAAACTTTAAATCAAATTTGATAAACAAGTAGAACAAGATTATCAATATTTAACGTCACAAGGCAGCGCATAGTTAGTTGTTTCTGTCACAGCTGGATAGATTTTTTCTAGTGTCACTCGTAACAAAATTTAAAAATAAATTTTGTGTTTTGAATAAACGCATTTTAAAGTTACTTACTGGTTAACATGTTGACGTAAGCTCCATCAGAAATGGCGAAAATGTGGGGAGGTACTTCATTACGCCTCTTACCACGGTACAATTTTGCACAACGGTTGGTGTATACGGGGAAACGCTTGTAAGGATTAATAGCGACACAGAAAAGACCTGAATATGTCTGAAAAATTCAAAGTTTGTTAGTTTTAATAGTAAATAGCTTACATTTAAATAACACCGATAACAAAAATTACATAAGGACAAAAACTCACAAAAAACATGAGTTCTCGACAAATTTCTTAAACTGATGTAGATTACGTAGTTGATGTTCAAAATCGTTTCGATCTACGTAATTCTACAAATCAGCCAATTCAAATTTGAGAGAAACTCATTAGAAAAAAACATATATAAAAAAATTAGATACATATATACCAATGTCTTGATCATAGGTAATAGATAAGAACAATCAAAAGAAAAACTGTGAGAATTTTAAAATCGATATCAGAATAATCGATTAAAATAAGACTTTTTAATAAAAAATTAACGAAATAGAATCATTTAGATATATTAAAAATAGTCTGATATTGATTTTTAATTTGTTTTAAATTTTTTTGAGTTAATCTTTCAATTGTCGCTTTACCAAAAACTAAAAAACGTAAAAAAGTAAAAAGTATGAAAATGAAAAATCCCATATTCTTTGTTCCACTTAGAACTGGGTAATGAGGAAAGTTGTTGGAGATTTACAGGAGTAGGCCTGCTTTCCAAAAGATGATAAAATGGTGAAGAGTCAAAATTTTCTACTTTGGCGGTGTAACATCCGTTTCTCCAAAGACAGAAGTCATCATGCTGAAGGAACTATTGTAAGTTACTTCATGAGTACCTATTTATCTTTAAAAATCTGCAAGAAACTTGCTTAACTTTTAATTTTGCAAACATTCCAAGATTTTTAATTTGCTTCTGCAGATATTTAATGACAATAAGTTTAAAGAGCAACTCTTTCAAGACTAAATCCGACTTACATAAATGAGTTGATTGTAATAACGTTGTTTTAAATTATGAAGTACAGAAGCATCGTTGAGATATGTCAAATTGGACATATCTTCAGCTTTTTCGTACTTGGGAGGGTTTACTTGAGTTACTTGATCCTTTTTGAAATCCTTTGTCTGTTCAAGATAAAAAATATATTAGAATTATTTTGAAAATACTTACGTAAATGAGTTTAGCGTAGTAACGTTGTTTCAAATTATGTAAAACAGCAGCATCGTTGAGATAGGTTAAGTCAGCCATGTCTTCGACTTTTTCGTATTTTGGAGGATTGACTTGGTGGACATTTTCTTTTTTAAAACTTTTTTCCTATTCTCATTAAAGTAAATTAGTACATAAATAAATGCTGATGTAAAAGTATTATATATACATAATAAAACAGTTAATAGAGTTACTGTGATGGATTATCTAGAAAACAATTATTTAGAAATTGATTTTTTTTTTAAGATTTGAATAAAAAATGGAAGAAACCAATTAAAATTGGAAAAGAGCATTTCTAAAGTGTTTTATATCGAAAAGGTAGGTAATAGATACTGGTAATTTATAAATATGGAGTGGGTTAAGTTAAAATCAAGATACGAAATTGAAATAATAAGAAAGTAAAATTGCTTGGTATTCAGCAAATTTATTAACGCAGGTAATTTTGAAAAAATAGACCTCTTTAATTTTTTAATACCTAATTTGGTATTAAAATGCTAATTTCTAAGATTTCTTGAGTAGCTATACTTTAATCCGGAAATTATAGGTAGTAACAGAATGTCAAAATGTTGCCAGAGTTGTCATATGCAATATCCAATATAATATAACCGCGTCTGGAAAAATGACGATTCTTTCGTAACCTCCGAAATCTAATCCAAACTTTCACGAAATGACAGATGACAACGTTCTTTACACATTCCAATACGGTCCTTCATTTCCGGATTCACCTATAAATACGAGGATAGATCTGAATGTTTCTAGGTTAAATGCGAAACAAATAAAAACATTTAGACGAATTCCATGATAAGTCTTCTACTTCGTATGCAAATTGTGTTGCTGAATTTAAACACAGTATAACAAGCATAGAGGACCCACCACGCTCTGGCAGATCCAAAAAGGTACCGATAAAGAAACAATTGAAAAAGTACATGAAATCCAGATAAATGATCGCCAAGTAAAGTTGACAGAAATAGCAAAAAAATAAGATTTTTTACGACGTTTTTTAACTGTAGAAGACCAGTCAAAGCAGTGGATCAAACATGGTGAGCCAACTGCAAAGAAGCCCAGGACGTTTAACTTTGCTAGAAAACTGATGGCTAGCATCTTTTCGGATTCTCGAGAAATAATTTTTATTCATTACTTACAGCAGGAGAGGACAATTACAGGCAAACATTATGCTTCGCTATTAGACAGATTGAACGAAGAAAGTTAAAAGGCCTCATTTGGCAATGGAAAAGTCCTAAAACTACAAAAAATTAACAGAACCTCCACCGTATTCACCAGACTTGGCTCTGTCCGATTTATTCCTTAAGAAATGGTTGAGTGAAAAGACATTCGCATTGAGCACTGAAATCATTAAAGCTATAAATGGACATTTCGAAGGTTACAAAGCCGAAAGGAGACTATGTAGAAAAATTAATTCAATTATACCCATTCCGTCTCAATCTAGAAATTTTCCGATCTTCCCCGTAATATTTATACTACAACGATACATTTGAAATATTACATATATTATGATTTATGTTTGAAAAAGAAAACATTACCTCTCCTCCAGGAAGACCAACAGAGACGAGGTCACCTTTGGTTCCTTTGATTTCTCCAAGCAAGAAGCCTTCCTTGTCGTCCGGTACCCAGCATGCTTTTTTGGCGTCATAGGGCTTGGTCTGATCGATACGTTTCTGTTCAAGTGAAACGAACAAGTATGGAGCTGGATCGGGATCATCTCCCTCTTGTTTAGCGGGTTTAGGCATGGCGTACGGACTTTATGGGGCTATCGAGACACGTTAATTAGCCCTAGAGCCTTCCTGGAAATAAAACAAAATATATTGAAAACCGCATGTGTTTCTTAAGTGTATCAAGTAAAACCCATATAAAATGATTTACAAGAAATTTAACTTTTTTTCTGATGGTGCACATCTTCACTATATTAACGGACTTAATTAGATGGTGCGTACACATATGACGAATAAGCAGGAATGAAAATTAAGGAATAGAGGGTAATCTAGACGTACCAACCGTGTGTATCTATCGCTACTATTTCTTGTACCTGAGAAAGTTATTATTAATTGAAGGAGATTCTCAAATGTGACAAGATGTATTAAATACATTAAATTCATTCTCGAAGTTTTAGTCACAGTAATTTATTATAAAAAGGAGGATTTAGCTACTAGTTTCGACCACGCACGGTATCGTGCACCCAGGTACTTTAAATCACTTGATTTTTTTGAATAATTGCTACTAAAATTTCGGGCGGAGGGTTGTAACCCCTAAAACGCAGCGTTGTCAGCAGGTTTGTGAAGACAATACGTTTTTTGTTGCATTTAAAATTATTTTGGACCTAATTGATGTTTAAAGTGTTTCAAAGAGGCACATTGTAAATTTTTCAATTTATTTTGTATTTCTAGTATTGATTTTCTTCTATATTGGAAAACAAAGTGGAATGGTCTGAAGAAAATGTAAAAATAAATTTACCTAAATTATGGGCAAATTATAAATTAGGAAAATAAAGAAAAATAAATGTAGAATTATGAACTATAAAAAATGGACTCTTGAAAAATATTTATAATTGACAATATTGACAGAAATAACATAATTGATCTTGGAGTAATTCATAATAAAAAGTTTCGCTTAGAAATAAAGGTATCAATGAAATCATATGGGAGGAAAATAGAAGACGCGAACTACAATAATAGCTTGTAATAAGATACATCTGCAAATAAATTGTTTGAAAAATAAAAATACAAACAAAAGTCGGTCCAAAGATTTGGTGAAGAAAATTATTTTTAATATATATTATATATATGCTCCCAAAAAAATAATATTTGTTTTTGATCTATTATTGCTATTATTTTGGATTACCTAATTCTGAAAAGCCCAAAGAGTAAAAGAAACAAACATTTTCACCAAAAAATTATGATAAGACGAATGAAAATGTATTGTTTTGAAAATTACACTCATTTTTAATTGGCTCTTCCCCCAAATCGACTCCCTGTGGAGTAGATGGACAGAATAGCTTTACCCGAGCATTTAAAATCATGAATTTTTCCCTAAACCAATGGCACTGTCGAAGCCAACAGGCCAGTCTCTTTTCTTACCATCGGAGGTGGGAGAAGCCCACCAAATGGCCACTTATAAAAAAGGGTGCATCTAAAGACATCTCTCGGTGTCACTATTAGGTCTTATATTTCGCTGTAAGATGCACAATGGACCCAGTGAGGACTAACTAAAGTAGAACAACTCAAATCGACTTTAAAATTTAAATTGTTATAAAATGTACATCTTAACTTTAAAAATATGCTGGGTTTTACTTGACACTTGTCCAATTACCAATTAAACTATAAGTTCTTGTTAAGCAATATTAGTAGCATAACATCTGCGTATATAAAATCAGATAGCATTTCAATAATTGGGTTAGAAAAATTCTAGGTTCTGACAAAAATTCATCCTCAATTTACGGAGATGATAGAAAAGTGCATAATAACCACAAATGAGGGATTGCATGCAAATTTGCTAATGTCAACCGAAAATAACAACTAGGGTGTAGCTTAAATATTTGCATGCTGTTAATCCTTAACGACATTAAAACATTTTATTTGTTTGGTTTTAAATATTAAATAAATATATTAGCCTTCCTATAGAGATATCGAATAACCTCTAGATATTTTAAGAACAGAACCAATAAATCTATTGCTAAGAATCCAATACTCTTGTATTAAGACATCTGACGAAGTTTAGAATCATTTTGGGTAATATTTTAGTGGTTTGATCAGGTTATACAAATATCTGTTCTTGATACTTTAGCCTATGTTGGATTATAACTCCCATTTAATTTGCTTTGGATAACTGCAAAATATACAAATTTCAGGGTCCATAATGCTTATTTTGTATAGTTGTGGCCAGTAAGATTGTATTAAAGATTGGCATTAAATACTATGATCTAAAAAGATCTATTTTAAATGCCATGAACCTATTGGGATTCTAGCATAGATATAGAAAGACTAACTTCGAAAACTTTGGATAAATCTATGCTTTTGTGGGAGCTGTTGTAATTTAAGCTGGTTTATGACCAACGTTATGCATTAACAGATGGGCTGTTTAGCTGTTTCTTGTTAAGATGATATCTTAGATGGCAATGACCAGTAAGAATATTGATTCTGAGTTCGGCCTGGCTAAGTTCTAGAAATAGCTTAGTCTTTATTACTTAATAGTTTTGCTTGGCATTGGCATGTAATATTCTTCGGACGGTAGCCTTTTAGACATTTTAGTAGATACGCTTCCATTTTTAGATCTTCTTCCCTTAAAATGATTGAGGCTCGATGAATCAAGTCATTTAATTTCTTTAACAATATTATCAGCAATATATTTTTCTATATTTCTTCGTGCTCTTCCATAATAACCTTGTATTGTCTAGTCACCTACTTAAGGGTTTTTTTAATTCCACATAATTTTTGATACAGGAAATTGGATACTAAGGCTTGATATTTTGATTCTCTTCAATTGATCTTTAATACTATGCTTTATTCGTTCTGTTTACACTTATTTCATCATTGTTTTTCTACTTTGTTCTTGGTTTCTTGTCTAGTAATACCCAAATTATATTACTATTTGAAATGATTAATTTGTTTTCGTTATCTTCAAAAAGGGATTTATTTAAATGACGAAAATAGAAAAACGAACGAAGGCCATAATTAAAAACATAATAATATTCTGTTTAGTTGTAGAAAAGCAGAATGTCTCTAAAATTTAAATATTTAAAAGAAATTCGCAAGAAATAAAGTAAATTGTCGATAACTAATGGATAATTATTAACTAGAAGGTTGATAGGATATCCTTCGTATAAGAAATATGATAAGTTGAATTTTGTTTAGACAAACAAGTGTAGTTAGGATTAGATAATTCGAAGTAGAAAACAATAGGGTTGATTTAAAGATTGATTATTTCACAAATGAAAATACTACGGTGGGACCATCTATTCCAATTATTGACTTTGTAAATTCATATATGTTTTGTAATTCCGAGTTATCAAAATAATGAACTTACTTTACAATAGTCAGTATTCCTTTAGAATATCTATCAAACGAAAACAAAAAAATTAAAGGATGATTTCGATTTATCTCATTATCTTTTAATTCCCCTGTAGAATAACAACCGTGATTGCCGATTTTAAAAACACGAAAACTGTTACTCTACTCCGCTTTTATTAGTGAAATACCATTTGAGATGATTTCTATTTCTATATTTAGCCAGGCATCAAAAATAGATTAGAATGTGGAACACTGAAAACCCATAACGTAACCGAAAGAGATTTGAATCCCGATCTAAATATATAACGAAATAAAAGTCCAAATATTTGGCAACACCGCGACAATATGATTGTTACATAAATTTTACATCAGCTATTTGTAACTGACACACATACTGGAATTTAAAAAAATATTTTATATTTTTAATATATTGATTTAAATGATTTAAAAGAGATATTGTTAATAAAACTAAATTAATAAATTTATTGATAATCTGATCTGGTATATCAAATTTCCTATTTTAATGTCAAATATATTTAACAATTTTGATCTGGAATTAACAGAAAATGGCAATTAATATAATCGATATCCTGAAGAATACCTAAAATTATAGAATCAAAATGTTGGTCAAGAATATTTAAATATTATTCAAAGTCATAAATGACGGATCATTATTTATAGAGGAAAACTTTTTGGAAGTGTTTATCTGAAAGGAAATAGATTGGATTTTTGGCACTCATATCCTATTTAGATAGGATAAAAATGTTTCAAAGATGGCTGACAGTGACGTAATGCAATGGAGTAGGATGGCGTCCTTGACAATTTTGTGTACTGTTATAGATTTTTGAATTATTTTACTGCGTATTGAAATAATATTAACATTGTCAAAGATATAAGATTGTATTAGAGATAAATTATGTATAAGTAATATATAAGAATTTGCAATTCTAAATGTTGATCACTGAGGTATGTGATTATATGTCTGATCTATATTTAATTTTATATTAAATTAGAATAGGTAATATAAATGAAGTAGGTATTTTTCTATTAAGGTTTTGATGTAAATTTATGAACAAACTTTGTTATGACATTTAGGTTTCTTTTGTTAATTTCTATGTTAAAGCTACTATTAATTTCTATATGAGATTATATGTCATACTAGCACTTGTTAATGTCTAAACTACAATAATTTACACCGAATATATTCTTGTCAAAAACACAAACCACTTTATTAATCCAATAAATTGTTGAAAGAAAAAAATCACATGACACAATTGCTAGTATGACACTGTAATGAGAATTGATCACAAAATCACTTGTTCACAATAATTCACAGTCTCTATAGTAAAAATCCTGTAATTGGGGCACACACAAGAAGCATTAAACACAGAACCAACGCACTGGACACTTACGTTCGAAAGGCGATCTGAACGAGAAATTGTATGTTACCACAAATATAAATGTCTGATACTATATCCCGAAATGTAACACCGTTTTTCATTGGTCGGCCCGTCGGACCAATCTTGGAGTGCGTTACAAACCGGGCCTGGTCCCTTTTTAGGCGCAAGTTACAATGTGGCTGGTAGCGAGATAGCTAGAAATACATTCAACAAGTCTTATTTTAGCTTACCGTTGGCTGAGGGGTAAGGAAACTCTGGAGCTTTTTTCGGGATACGATAGTGGGAGAAAGTCGGTACATTCACCTAGTGCTACACATTTGATAATTGACGTTGGAGCAGAGAAATACTTTCTCATTAATTTATTAGTTTTTTTTAATTTTTTTTCCGGATATGAATATGTATGCTGTAAATAGTAGGTACATAATATGCTGCTGGTAAAATTTAATGAGATATAACAATTGAATTCGTAAACAAAATTTATTTTCTTCACATATACGAGTAGGTACTAAAGTTACAATTATTATTTACCAAAAAATATTACCATTACTTTAATAAAGTGCATTGTGTTTGTGAAAAAATTAAAAGTAGTGAAAACTATTAAATGACACCAGAAATGTGAGTTTCTACGAAAATATGTTTATAAACCATTTTTGTTTTTCGCTTAAATTTCTCATATTTCATGGTATTTATAGTATCGAAGTAATTATTCAAGAATAGGAAGTACTTATATCATTAACAAACAGCGTCATCATACAGTAAAAATAATAAGCATTTTCAATAAATAGCCAAGTTTTTTTATTAACACAAACTTAGTTTGATATAAGGAAACACAGAAATGGAGTGCAATTTCTAACATTTATCTTGTTAAAGGTAATGGCAGGTAAGGAGTCAAGTGATTTATTTAGGCTCGACCTTGGTAAATCCGAATAGTTATTTATTTCTATGTGACGAATACAAAAAAAATACGTTTGCTATTGACCCGGGTTTAGCCTTTTCTTCTTCATTAACAACACTTCCTCTTCTTTTATTTCTGGTCTGATCTTATAGGTACTACTACATAATATATATTAACTACTTTGATGTAATTAAAGACTCTCGAAGAGTTAAAGTTACCAGTAAGAACCGGCTAATTGAATTGAAAAATTATCTAAAAATATAGATTAAAGCTCATCCGGAAAAAGATCAGAGGCTAATTTAATTTTGCATTTGTCTCTAACAATTAAAAATACAGCCCCAAGCATGCCTTTTATACAGAATGTAACAAAAAGTTGTACAGTAAATTAAACTACAGTTTCTGGGGTCAAAAATAAATCGATTTAAGCCAACTTGATTACATAAAAAATGGATAGTAAAAGGTTGCAAGGTATTAAAGTAGAAATTTTATGAGATGTTATATTATAAAGTGATCAATAAAATGGAATTAGGGGCGTTTTAACTTGTTTTTAATTCTATAGGTTTTTTAGAAGGGTTCCGCATTCCTTTGACCGCCTACTTTTTTAGACAATAAAATTTAAAAACACCACTAAAATCCTATATAGATTTGTTTCGAATGTTTTTTGTATTATGGTGTTTTTTTGGGATAGCCTTAATTACTAAGTTATAGGCCTCCGAAGGAAGGTCAATAAAATTTTTCTATTACAACTTTATGGATGATCGATAATACAAGGGAATAATGCTTGTCTGCAAAACTGAACAAGTCCGTTTAGCCTAATTTTACAGGAACTGAATAATTTGTATACAGGCTTACATAGTTGCATTTTAAAATATTTTTTCCTTCAAAAAATTACACAAATCCGGTTTGATATGTAACAAATTTTATAAGTAAAACAAAAAAATACTTTTGGTGGTATTTTGAAAAAAAAGTTTGGACTTGTTCAGTTTTGCCTAAAAAGTATGGACTTGTTCAGTTTTACATCATCACATCACAGAACTTGTTAATTTTTGTCAAAAATATTGTATTAAAAGATCAAAGGCCTACTAATTAGGTACAAAAGTCAACTTTATTTAAAACAAGATAATGTAATACATCTAACAAACGTGTATATGTATTGCTTTTCATCATCAAGACAGTCACACTTCTTCTGGAGGCTCCTCTTAGTTATCTGACTGAGTCTCTCCACCGTTGTCAGGAGTGCTGTCAAGAATTTTTTTGTACCAGTTTAAATTCAAATCTTTTTCCCAGTCTTCTCCAAAATGTTTTAACATTTGCCAATTTTTTTGTGATTAATTTATTTATTCAACGGTAATTCAGGCAACTGAAAATATCTTGTACTTTTTCCACCCTTCGAAGTTTTGTTTGAAACTAAATTCGTTTTAAAATTAGGAAAACTTTCTATTTCTACGTTTTTGAAAAAAATATTCTTTGCACTCACTAATTTTATTTATTTTTTTGTAAAATTTCTAAAGTTCCTTAACATCATAAACTTTCCAGTCTTTACCTAAAACTTTAACAAAGCCAACTTCTTTATGAGTATATTTCGTAATAATTCTCTTTAATTTGAATTACATATTTTTTTCTAAGTTTTCTTTCAACAACCCCAAAAATTCTGTCTGCAGGTAGGAAACTAGGTCCACGGACTGGAAAATGTAGATGTATTTCTTTTATACCATTAGTCTCAGTTTGTAGCCAAAACAACATCGTGGAATAATGTTTAATAGTGACTTGTTAACATTTGCTTTTAACTTTATTTAGCGCTATAAAGAATATATTGGAGTTGTTATGCTTTGCATCAAATCAAGTAGGATTTACTGCTATTTTATTAGTGTGTGACTTGTTTAGTTTTGAAGCAAACCAGTAAGCTTATAGCCCAGTTATTAAGAGACCTGTTTAGTTTTGTTTAAAATCGAAGATATATTAAATATTAATCTACTTTTTTTACCGAAATCGGGTCCTAACTCAATATCACATAATTGTGGACTTGTTTAGTTCTGCAGACAAGCTACTGAATTGTAAATGAAGTAGAACATTTCATGTTGATTAAGACTTTTTTTTACAAACAATACTAACAGACGTCGTCCTGTTTTTAACTGAATTGCAGTGTTTAAAATAGTAGGAGATCACTGGTCACTGTATAATATCATCCCATATACCTTTTCATACAAATATGTTTAGCCGTTTTAGAGTAAAAGCAAAAAATAAATTGTAAAATTAATATTTTAACATTCTCTGTTTTATATAAACATAAACAAGTTAGCTTAAATCGACATTCTATTATATACGAACACAGAAGCTGTGATTAAATTTACTATACATCTCTTTGTAACACCTTGTCGTATCCCTCTTTTTAGTTATTTTTTAATTTTTGGATGGGGAACAAACATAATAGTGTAAAAGGCTTCATTTAAAAAAAAAATATTCTAAACGCATAAAATGGAAAACAAACAAATATTCAATTGTTTACAGAACATTAAACAAATGTAATCTCAGAAATGTTAGAATAGGAAAAAATGTTAGGATTCGTTACATATTATTAACCCCCCAAATGAGACCCTTATCATTTAAAAGTTAGTTAATATATAAAATTTGATTTTTTAATTTAATTTGAAGATATTTGGAATAAATAACAATCAGCTGTTTTTTAATAATGTGATATTACCCCAATAGGTATAAAACTAACAGAATATATAGCTATACTATCAAAATTTATTTTATTCTACAAACGTCGGTAAAAGTATAATTTTTTTTATATTGGTACCCTATTTTACTTATTTAAAGTACGCCTCAGCGTGTTTAAAACGAACTTTAAAAAACGCGCGTTTTAAAGTTACCATGGCAACATCAACAACCCGAGAAACTTTTTAAATATTGATCTGACAGGAGTGCCTTGTAATGTCAAATAAAATATTTCTGAGAAATTTTTCAAAAAATTTATTCATATATTTTTTCACATTCTTAATTATTTAAATGAATGTGGAAAGTACAGTTAGTATTGTTTGAAATATTAAAACTTCGGTTTTTTAAATCAGAAGAAATAGTGTTCAAATTAAGATTGCTAAAATTCTTGGAAGTCAATGAAGTTGCACTTCTATTAATAAATAGCACTTCTAATAATATTTGAAACATTGTTCTTATTGCTAATGCTCTCTTCAACGTAACCAGTCGCCACAGCTGCCGATTTCCATCCTACTTGTCGTTGGATTTGATCTATTGTCATGCCATTATTCGCCATAATGGTAGCGGACGTACGTCGAAATGCATGTCCAGTATATTTCTCAGGATCGTCCAATTTAAGATAACGTGCAATTTGCTGGGGACATGATCCAAATGTATTAATACCCACTTGATTGGTGCACTTTCCCTTATCATACCGTAAGAAAACTCGGTCTGTACTTACATTTTGGGGGCGCAATGATAAATGACAAACTTACGTGACAGATTGAAAATAAATTTTTGTTTGTCTCATTTTCATGACAACGAGGTATACTGATGTTACATCACAAATTCAACCATTTTCAGTTATTAGTTCTTATTTCCATTTTTTTGTAGAAACAATACCAATATTTAGGATTTCAAAGTATACCAATAAAAAAAAAATAGCGTAAAGTATTCGTGGATATAACGGTCTTTAAAACACTTGCTCTATTTCGAGCACTCTGGCTGCGCCGTCGTGCTCGAAAAATCGCGCGTTTTAAAGACCGTTATATCCACTTATACTTTAATATACTATTAACGCATGCTGTCAGTGTCTAAAATGCCATTTTATGACACTGGTGTTTAGTGCTAAAAGTGATTCAAAAAACCCACAAGCTTGTAATATCTGCTTATTTCATGATTATTTATGTTTATCATCGACTTTAACATAGAGTAATTCGACCAAAGCGTTTACGATTTCCATATTTTGGACTCTTCTTCAATGTATGCAAGAAGCACTTTTTCACTAGCCTCCTTGCCACTGACAGTTTTCTAATCACACCATTTCAATAAACGATCGTATGAAAACTCGTACTGTTGCTTACTAGGAAATAATTAAAAAGCAGTTTTATTGGCAGCTTCTTCAATTTCCAACGGTAGAAATTCATTTTCTTGATAACTTTCTATCGAGGATCGAAGAAACGAGAAAGAATAATTCGTGACTTATTGACGTTAGTTGTCAACAAAGACAAATCAACAAATTCGGTTTTTATTTACATTGGCAACTTGTTTCATGAATAGATTAGATGAAATTGGATTCAAAACTGATAATTTCGAGGCTATTATTTTGTCA